ATTAATTGCAGTAAACATTATGTGGTGTTAGGTTAGGTTGTGAATATCTTATATGTAATTTTTTGGATTATATTCGACACTATTTTTTTCAACATATTTATTAACCCCTAGTATCTAAATGGGATTAATAGCATGACGTCATAAATCTCGCTCCGAGGCTGTTCTATTAGAGACGGCATTGCGTCAACATGGCCGCAAGTTGCTAACCTAATAAAATTAACACTAGAAAAGCCCGCGGGAACTGTCAAATTCAAAGTTATTCGTTTCACAGACTATAACAGATATTTTGTTTAGATTAAAGCTGCAAAAATTAGTTAAAATCGAATTTTATTATCGCTATGTTGGTCACATTGCGCCGCGATCAGCAATGTTGTCCTTTATTATTTGACAATTATCCTAGTGTCAGTCATTATTTTGTATAATATCGTGTTGTTGTTGAATCTTTGCGAGTAAGTCTCGTTCTTTGCCTATTTTCAGAGCCTTTTTTTAAAAATTGCATTTCTCGAAATTTGTGTGTGGAAAATATGCCGAAGCAAAGAGCTTGTAGATTCCCTGTTTTTTTAACTAATTTGAACGAGAACGTGACAATAAAAGTCCGTTATTACCCTTGACTGCAGTCAGAAAAGTAAGTTTGATTGATAAGCAGATTATACCACTTTCAAAGTTAGATTTTATGAAATTCTATGATTATTAGTTTGTGCATTAATAGCACCGTCTTACTTGTTATAGCGTCGTAAGATGTACATCAATAACTAAATAAATAACCCATAATAACACTTATAACAATCTTCATAATGGACTAGCTTTTGCCAATATGTATTATTACTTTAAAAAAGTAAAACAAATAAAACTCTTCTAGCATTACTTATTTTTCTGATAAATATACCCATACTAAAACGTCAGTAAAGTAACTCCTGTGATAATTCTTACGATAAAAATAAAAATTCCTACAATCATTACAAGAGCAATATTTTTATTAAATCCACTCGTAACATCTGAGAAATATTTGAACACCTTCCCAAAAATAAACAATCCCGAACGGTTCGTGTTATAAACACCTGGAAAGCATCAAAACATAACGAGTCTATTTTTTATTTACATACGGTCGTTCTAACACTTTTTAAATCTTCGGAATGGTTACAAGAAATGTAGAATAGTGCAATAAATCGGATAGATCTAGGAATTTAAGTTGCGTCAAAACAGTTTTTTTTAACTTTTAGTAGTAAGAAAACATACAGAATGCTCGAAAAAATGGTGTTATTTATGGAATATTTATTTTGAAAACCATAAAAGTCTTAATTATTAGTTTAATCGGTACATTTTAGATCTTTTTAAAATCGTTATTACAGTAAACTTTCATTTTATGAATCAAGTCATTCTTCTCGCATTAAGCAGCTATAGCATGTTTATCCAACTTGTTTTATTTTAATTAAATGACATTAAAAAAGTTTAATTTTCATTTTCTTCAAAATTACTTTTTAGGGCTTGATTCAGTTCACTTCTGAAGAGTTAAATAACTTGGTTATTTTCAATTTATTTTAAAAATGGTAAAGAAAAAATAATATGTTTCTCTTGGCCAGATCTACCACACCTTAAAATACTTGCACTTATTTCTGGGACGCCCTGTATATATTTTAATATCTTTCTAGATTTGAACGTTTGTCACGATTTTACGTAGAATTTCTGTTATGTCTAGTATGTCACCCAAATATACTATAAGAATATATCGCTAGTACCGCATTTACACAATGAGTGGAAAGTGAAGCAAAAGAAAAGAAATAGGAATATCAATCTTGCATAAGTCTATCCTTTTCGTTCAACAGGATTTTCGTGCGCACGCACCAAATAAAACGATCTGATCCGTCTACTTCATCGCTGAACGCTGTCACCTGCCCGCGTACTATTTTAAATTCTAAATATTAATAACGTATAATATATTATTTTTTTATCGGTAATGGCATTATTTCAACCTGTTATTTTTGATATTCATCATATCTATCCGTTTCTTGTTTTTGTTTAAATATGTCAGAGATTAAAATTAAATTTATAAGTAAAGGCGCGAATAGTCAGACGCTAAATTGATTTACGTGGTAGATAGAAACTTAGAAAACTACTTCTATTGGTTAGTATGAAATAAATCAACTAATCGCGAAGCACTTCTCACGCTTGCGTAGTTCAAAGCTGTTGAACAAAAAGGACAAACTTATGTGTATCATTAAAATCGGTCCAGCCGTTCTTCAGTTTTAAATTCAGTAACTATTTTCGTTAAATATGTGATACTCGCAATTCGGCACTCTTCGTAATGTAAATAGCCGTTGACTCTAAAGCCTATGACTTTAAAATCTATTAGCAATGAGATACGGTCCAAATAAACACTTGCGTTGACCCAATTTTCAAGCGGGGGTCGCAATTAAGGTCCCATAATTTATAGTGACGGGGTCTGGACGCCCGATTAATCCCGTGACAAGGCGATATGCAACAGTCGACGCCTACCGCGACGCCAAGCGTCACCCCGTGTACTTGGCAGGTATCCAGACCTGTAGGCTTTCTAAAAGCGTACAAAAATACTCTTAATTGAGTATAAACATAGGAATATATGCCATAATTTGAGGTATCGTCCATAAAAAGCTGGGAATAACAATCGATTATAATTTTGACAAAGTCAATCTCTAGAAGTCGTTTACTAAAAATTGACATAAAACTTGTCAAAAATTAACATAGAAAGACTAAAAGAGGATAGAACATTTCCATACACACAAAAACATGTTCAAAAAATTATTTTTTCTCGAATTTTAAACTAAACACCATTTAAAAATAATTTTTACTTGATATAAACACAGATTAGGTATCCTATAAGTATACAGATAAAAATGTTGTCCCTAATTCGTGGTACGAAAATTGTTTTTTATGACGATGTGCAAACGAGTCAAATTTCCTGTGCGCAAAAACAAACTTGCGTAAAATAACAATAAACAGCGTAATAGAGAGATATCGCTAAACCGAATAGCGTGCATGAACGTTAATAAGGCCAGGTGTTATTTCCTTTACGTGAGGTGGTATTAACTCTCTTCATTTATAGTTATCGGATCGGAAAGAATTCTGATCGCGTCGCGTCCGCTATTTAAACTACAGGGTGTCCCAAATTCGCGCCTTATCATTCGGATCTCAGAAACTAGAAGAGATTAAATCGGTCGGTTAACTTTGAATTTAAAACTTTGAAATTGTTTTGTTTACTAGGTATTTTAAAACTAAAGAGCTAAAGTGCTTATTTCCAGTGCTTTATTGTTCAACGTCTGCCAATGGGTTTAGGACAACAAGCAACAAATTCTCTCAGAAGGGCTAAGTCGTCATCTGCTGTAAACCTAAGACTCTTTATAGGTTCTTTAGTATTGGAAGAGGTGGAATCCATATTTTGGGCCTTATTTATTTAATTAAAACTAATCCCAGCTACTTAAATATCAAATTACCTAATAAAACTAAAGCAATAATTCAAAACAATTCAAACATAACCTAAAATAAAAGATCTCGCCGGCTGGCTCCGGTTGTCAAATACCCGCACATGCCCATTTAAGCAATTTTTAAACGTTATCAGAGGTTATTTAGAAAGAGCGCTTGGTGTAATTGATCCGTAAATTACGTCAGGCGGTAACGTTATTAGCGGGTGTTGCGTTGACTCGCGCATATCGTAACCATGATAAGGTACGCGTAAATACTGGATGACGCTATTCGGTTTTCCGATATTTCTCTAATAACTGTGCCGGTCAGGCGCTGTGTACAATTTTAGAGGCCATAAGTGGGCGTGCTATGTGCGCAAACTAGTCACCTAACTAGTGCCCGATTTCGAAAATTGGAACCACGAAAAACAATAAGGAAAAAACAGAGATTATAATCTGTATAATCTGTGATATAAAAATAAATTACAGCCTTTTAAAGCGCTATTAATAAATAAGGACGAGTTAGGGCCAAGTAAATGACGTCTAAGACTTGACCTCGCGAAAATTATCATCGATATCATTTTCCAGCCGTCTTTGACGCCGTTTTTTTTTTCGATGGTATGGTATTTCTATACTATTGATAATTACAGTAGGGTTTTAGAATATTTTAGATAGTCGTTAGCCAGCTGCACCTAATAATGCGCCTAATAATATACCATCGTTTTTTTCCCATTTGTTTTCTTTTTTGAAAACTATAATGGACCAGCACATTTTTGGCAACTGGGCCAAACTTTTTACGGCTAATTAATAATATTTTTAGTTCAAAGACGTGGGTTTCGCCTTATGGTTTTGTTGCCTACGGCACAGTACTGTACAGGGTGTCCCAAATTCGCGCCTTATCATTCGGATCTCAGAAACTAGAAGAGATACTAGGTCGGTTAAATGGAGACAAAGTTGTGCTGATCAAAATGTCACCTTAAAAGTTTATAAACTCCTACTGATAAAACACGAATATTCATTTTTATTTTTTTATGACTCTATTTTAATATTACAGTTGAGGGTTGGAACCTTTGGTGTTACACAGCAAAATAAAAACACTAAATCACCACAATACACCAAAACACTTTTACTTTTACACTGGACACGCGTTTCGCTAACCATGTTAGCATCATCAGCAGATGATTATTATGTAGTTTGTGATAATCATCTGCTGATGATGCTAACATGGTTAGCGAAACGCGTGTCCAGTGTAAAAGTAAAAGTGTTTTGGTGTATTGTGGTGATTTAGTGTTTTTATTCTATTTTAATAGATACAACAAAATAGATTTTACATTGTGTTTGCTACTACATTTGTTCTACAAGATGTTTTAAAGTGCCATCGTCAACTTTCTTGTTTTAAATATAGCCCTGGATTTTTAGAACTTCTAAGGTCCCAAAACCAATGACGTATCGCACTTTGTGACAAGACCTGATGTACAAATTTATGTACATAAAGTTTTTTTTAAAATAAAACAGTGTTTTGCTCATAAAAAATATACACTTTATAGAAATATTTCAAACACTTACCTCTTGGCTGTTAAGCTTCGACGTTTCTGTGGTATCACCTCCCGCTGATGGGTCTTTTTCTTGGTCCATATCCTGCAAAGTTAAAAAATATATATTTGCTTAATTTCGTAAAAAAATATGTATTGAAATGTTTAATAATTACAACAGGGTTGTCCAAAATGTCTTACCTCCATATTGTCAAACGAGACCACTCCCGTCGATCTCCTCTTAGGTCGCCTCCTTCTTTGGATCGCCGCCTGTGTCGCCAGCGTCGCTTGAGCGTTCCTTACGTCATTCTCTTTGTCTTGCTCTACAAGAAAAAGAAGAAAGTCTTTATTTAAATACAGGCGATGTAATAAAATTATCATAAGCCAATTAGCCTAAGGCTAGAAAAAGATGGTACGGCTGTGCTCGAGTTATTATATACAGGGTGGCCCATCGAAAACGTTCCGCAAGGCATAACGGCCAGAGTATTTATTTTTTCAAAAAATCCAAAAATTTGTTTGTGAGTTTCAATCCTTCATATTTTCCCAACCACTCGACCGATCTTCAAAAACGAAGCAGGAAAGTATAGAGAATAGAAAGCCCTTTCCATTGCGGTACCCCTTGACCCCCCTTCCCATTTGAAAAAAAAAATCGGGGATGCCACCCCCGCTTAGAGGGTTGAAGATTTTGCAATAATTTTTGGGGCAAAAGTTGTCCCCCTCACAAACAAAATTGACGTGTTTTTGAATTATCTGAAAAAAAAAAACTACCCTGGCCGTTATGCCTTGCGGAACGTTTTCGATGGGCCACCCTGTATATTATTCTTATGGGACTGACCTTTCTCATCCAATGACTTAGGTCGCCTCAGAGGTATCGTCACGGTGGTCTCCGCTGTGTCGATGGGCGCCGAGGTAGGTCGCTGACCCACAGTACTGGCCGGGTTCAGTCGTCTCACGTAAGATGGCGTCACGGGAATTTCCGGTTTCGTCGCGTCCTCCAGTTTGAACTGCGATAAAACAAACAAAAACAAATTAAGTCAAGATATTTCCGGTATTTTTTATATTATAAAAAATATGTAGAACTCTCTGTAAGGTTTAGAAGCTGAAATATTTAATATTCATATTAAGCAGTCTTGAAAAAAAAATTAATAAGGATTTAAAATGAAGAAAGTAAATGCGAAATGATTATGGTCATTTCAAAAGCAAGTGTGGCGCCGTTTTTTTTCGATGACTAGATATAAAAAATGTTAGTTAAAATTTAAACCAACCCCCATAAAACTGATTTTTAACTTTCCCTGTATATTATATTATTCAATATACAACACAGTAAATTATACATGCAAAATCTCAAATAAAATACCTACCTACCATTTATTTTTTTTTCCTTCAAAAAATTGTTAATATAAAACCACAACACCTATTTTTTTATGTCTATACAAACTTATTGTCAAAAAAATAAAATAAAATAAAAAAATAAAACACAAAATAATTTCAAAAGGTTTTTATTAATCAGTAAATAAAAATAAATAACTATTTACTAAAGTTTATTAGTTATTAGAAGCCAAAATTGTTAAGAAAAAGTAGTAAAGAAAAAGCAAAAAAAAACAACAAAAAAATATACAAAAACATTTTGAAATTACTGATAATATTTTTTTATATAATCGTCTAGTATATAAATATCATAATTTCAAAATTACTCGTTAAATACATTCTCAAATAAGAAATTTGATTTAGTCCTTTCATATAAATAAAACTCCTATAAAGCTAGTAAAGACTTTAAAAATCTGCCAAGAGAGTGCGACAGCTACAACATGCTAGGATAGAGGATATCAAAAAACCAACCTTTTAACTAATAACATAGCATAACATTTTAATAAAAATGATGTAGGGTATTTTGTTGTAGGATTTGTTATTTTATTTTATGTTGTGAATAACTGTTGGTCGTTATTAAAATTGTTATAAAAAAATACAATTCTAATAAAAATAGATAAGTTATAATAATTATTTATTAACACAAACATCCGATACGCTACTGAAGCAGGTAAGTCAAATTGACGTATCTAAATTCTTTGACAAGTAGTAAATAAAAGCAAAAATGCAAGAAAAAATATTAATTAGTTAATTTTAGGTGCATTTCATAAATTATCGGTTTACTACATGTATGTATGTTATATGGTCACTTACTAGCGAAAAGTTATTCCATAATTTCCCTCGATTTTTGACCGAGATCTACCGCACGCTAATCAACCAACTATTTTACAGTCTTTTTCGATAAATCGCAATAGCGTCACTATAATTTAAATTCTGCCACAAAAAAAATCCTTCTAGATTAACTACCTCTAAACAACTACCAGTTGTAGAATAAATAATAAATAACATAAAATAAACTCAGTAAAGACTGACAAATTTACACAATCTCAAATCAAATTCAAATGTGTCAAACGAATCGTCAAACAGAACTGTCAAGGTTCCCCTCCCTGCATACGGTTTTCTATTTCATAGTCTTGGCAGACGAATTGTATTATGTATTATTATATACTAGCCTTATAGGAGTTTTAATTATATATAATAATCCTTTGTTATATTTTAGGTTATGTACGAAGTTTCTTATTTTAAAATGTTTTTTTTAATAAATTAAATTAATAAATAAATATCTACCCTACGTTTAGTAATATTTATCTAACTGTGCAACAAAGTGTAGCGCCAAATATTTACAAAGAAAAATTATAAATACAAAAGTAAAAAAGAGAGAAAAAAAACATAAAAAAACAACAAAAACAAAAACAGTTCAGAGCAGGATATTTTTCATAACGAAGATCAAGAACAGTAGAAGAAATATGAGAAGGTTCAGCACCGGGTGACATACTAAATAGAAGCTAAAACTAAGAAAAGGTATAGCGCGGCAGAACATCGACTTCTGAAAAAATAAGTCACTTGTTACAACATATCCTAGAGTACTCCATTCAGTTCTAGAATCTCAGTTTATATCAGTTGATTTTAAAGAAAAAAAAAATGTTTAAAACCCCTTCAAAATTGAGAAAAAGTATTTTTATATAACACAATAAAGTTTTTTTCATCCAAAAGAATCCACAAAAAAGTCCAATATAACCACAAATTCACAAGAAAGTGTTAAAAAATTCATGAAAAAAAATTAAACATCCACACTTGACTGACATAAACTGAGTTTTCTCTACGTCTACTGCACGCATCTCGAGCAACAAAAGCAATAAAAAGCAACAATGTACACTATATACAAAGCCAAAAAAGCACACCGCGCAAGCGCCGCACACTCACCTTGCTACTGCCGTCCACTTTCAGTCGCCAGGAGGGCCGGCGCTCGTGAGCTCCGCCCTGCGCGTTCAGTTGACCCTCCCCCGCGCCGTTTGTAGACGCGTCGCTGGCCACGCCCCCCGAGGGTGTGCTGTCGCTCCTCGTGACCACGGTGGGCGTGCCCGTCGAGATCGTCACCGATACGCTGACGGTGGGGTTAGTAGAGTCTCCGCCTCCTCCGGTCTGTTAATTCCGACAAGGTTATTTGGTGTTAGATTATTGTTATATTATGTACAGGGTGATCCAGAATGATTGAACTAGTTGGAAAAACGTTAATAATAATATAATGTCATTTTAACAGAGCGTCAACGGTTTTTATAGCTATATCTGTTGAAAAAAAAATAAAGCGTTCTTGAATAGTTTTATTTAGATATTTTAAATAGTTTTTTTCTTTGTTTTTTGTGTTTTTTTTTGCTTCCGACGACGCCGACGGGAAGAGATATACTTCGCGAAACGTTAAGCATTTTTTGTCCGTTAGCAAAACGAACAAATTCAGAATAATCAACTATATCAAGCATTCTAGATAGATCACTTTTTAGTAAATCTTAAAAGAAAAATCTTACCGTGTCATTATTGTTGTTATTAGGTTGATTTTTCAACTTAACCAACTGCTCCGCAGACTTGATCTCCTCCAAGGTAACGCCCTGAGTGGATCGCCTCGTTTCCCTCACGCGTTTCGCGTGAGCTTTCCTCTGAGTCTCGCTCTCCTCGTCCCTTACTGGAGGCACAAAGGACCTAAAATAATCGTGAAAAATACAGATGATTAGTTTTATTCACGCCTAAACTATGGTGTATAAAAAAAAACATTAGATCCCTATAGACTTCGTGGATAAAGATATACCATAACTTATTATACAGGGTGTCACAAAAATAAGTGCAAGTATTTTAACTGGTAATATAGTTCGACCCCAGAAATACGTCCATCATTTTTTTTTGCGAAAAAAAAAATGTTGAAAATTTTCTATTTTTCTTGACATTTTCCGGAAAATATTGAAAAACTTTTGAGTGCCGCCTGTTCAGTTTCCGGAAATTTGTTTAGTCCTTTGAGAGAATGCAATGTTGCTATCTTCTGTATGTTTATAAATAAATGATCACATTTTTAATTTATACAAAAAAAAACTTAAGTTAATTTTATTCACTGTAGATTTTTTAATAATTGTAGATTACTATTAATTAATTTATTACTGTTAACTAAGTATTTTGCAACGTCTACTATAGTTTAAATACCGTAAAACGGGGTAACTTCGACAGCGGGGGTAACTTCGATATGTTATATTATAATGCTTTTTTTGCAGGTTTTTGTTGTTTTTCAGATGTTTTTGTTGTTTTTCAGGTTATCCAAAGTTTTTTCTATTGTTTTTGTTTTCTTTAATATTTTTTTTGTATTATAATTTTGTTTTATTTATTTACTTTTATTATTTTTTATTATCATTTGTTTTTTTTTCTTTTATTATCATTTGTTTAATGCAGTACTCCGAGTACACAAATAGAAAGGCGTGGATCAAGTGTGGTTCCAAACAAGTGATACGAATGTCCTCCATGTTTCGACGATGATTAAAATTTCGTTCCTAGTGTTTGCTTGGTTTTTTATGTTTTAAACATGTTTTAAATGTTCTGTATTTATGTTTTTTACTGTGTTCAATGAGTTTTAGTTCAATTAAAATAAAGTCTTTTAAGTTCTGTTAGTTCAGATGCAAAATGTGCTAGGTAGGTATACCAAAGTTTCTGAAAATAGATGACTGTATTTTTTTGTTTCGTTTGTCTAATTTAGGCCTATAAATTATTCCCTAATGTTTCTAGTTAATAATTCACAATGAATTTTCTTTTTTTTTTTGGTGTCGAAGTTGCACCGGAGACGTCCAACTTCGACTTCATGTAGAATTAAACATGGTGTCGAAGTTACCCTGAATGCGGGGTAACTTCGACACCAAAAAAATAATTTAAAAAAAAGTAGGAGTGGGGGGAGTTGTTTGTTCGGCTATGAAGAACAGAGGCTTCAATTGTTACGACGACACATAAGTCACGGTTCTCAAGACAATAGTTTTCTTCACAGAGCACGAAACACAGCTGAAACCTTTCGAAGTTACCCCGTTTTACGGTACCTTTCTTACAGTATAGTAAACTGAAATAATAAAACTAAATAGTGAACAATTATAGTAGCTTTTCAACAGTTCAGTTAGGTTAGAGGGCGCTGATTATTAGATATGTAAATAGTCAATGTTTGACCTACATTTAAACAGATCATTTTTAGGTTATCCAATTCATTTTAGATTCTACTCAAAACAGTAAACATCTGATAAAACTAAAAAAAGGCAAATGTAAGGTAAGCCTGTAAAAATACTTTTAATATTATGGGTAATCATGAAGGGCAGATCGTTTGCTGATAGTGTTCTCAATTCAAGGATTTATACAGTGAGATGAAATGCTAAGTAATTCTTTTCTTTTTGTTTTAGTTGGGTTAGGTTGTATCTAAGGGTCTGATTATTCCTTGTTAATATTGTTTATACTCTGTTTATGTTTTTAATTTAGATAATATTTATACGAACAAGTCTTTGACTTTATAACGTATACTATTTATTTATTTATATGTATTTATATGTATTTATGAATAAATTATTATTATATTATTATTATTATTCAAATAGAAATATCAATTATCTTGGTGTTTATTCACAAAAACAAGAGAGAGAGATAGAAAAACAGAGGAGTTTTAATTCTCAAAAAATAATCCTAAATAATTCAGACGGAATATGAATGTATTTTGAGCCAAATACAGGTGTAAGTGTAGTGCTGTCAAGAAGAGTTGGATAATTACATTGGGTAGGTACACATAATTACATTGGGTAGGTACATGTTAAGTTTTTTACTTTTAATGTGAATTTTAAGTCGTTTTTAAATCTTTCTAATCGATGTGTCAACACTAGGTGTCGGACAAGCGGAGATCCAGGATCCATTATTTTTTTAAATGTTCAAAGTTTGTGTTTTTTATGTGAATTTACTTATCCACATAGGCTATAGGATCTAGAGAAAAACCCATGCCTGCAAAAACAATATTTTGTAAATAAGCACTATACCGGGTGAGTCTCAAAAATGGCTCACCCCTATAACTTTTTTATTTTTTTAGTTAAAAAAACGAGATTTGGTATGTTAGTATATGACATAAATTAAGATTGATTAACGTATTCAATTGTTTTCGGTCACTTCCGGTTTTACCGGAAATGACTACAACTTTTGATTTTTAAATGACAGCCCCGGTATTTTTTTACTTTATTCGATAGAAAATGTCACTCTGAATAGAATGACATATCATATGTCAACTTTTGACATTTCGCATATGGTTTGGTTTGGTTTGATTTGAAATTCTAACTTGCGGTTCGTAACGAAAATTTGACTCGAAATACCAAGTTTGTGCTATCAAATTATTCGTAAAAAAATGCTTTTTCCAAATATGCTAATGAGCCACCCTCGTTCCATTTGAAAAAATTGAGATATGATTAAAAATACGATTTGAGCATTTTCTAACTGGCCTGGATAAGACACTAAAACATTAGACAATCAAACACTCTAGATTGAATTTTAAAATACAATTTTTTATTAAGCGAGAATGTCAAAAGTTGACATATGATATGTCATTCTATACAGAATGTCATTTTCTATCGAATAAAGTGAAAAAATACCGATGGTGCTATTTAAAAATGAAAAGTTGTAGTCATTTTCGGTGAAACAGGAAGTGACCAAAAACAATTGAATACACCAATCAATCCTAATTTATGTCATATACTAACATACCAAATCTTGTTTTTTTATCTGAAAAAATAAAAAAGTTATAGGGGTGAGCCACTTTTGAGACCCACCCGGTAGGTAGGAACACAGTTATTGTGCTTAATTTATAGTGCGTTTATAGTTTAAGATGAATTGAAAAAGTTATAAACAAACAGGAAAAAATTAGTTGGAAAACAAATAATGTCTCAGCTGTAAAAACAAAAATATTGAATTGTCAGACAAAATTGTATATTGTCCACATTTTTATTATTATTAATATACATAGTGCCGTATGATAAAAAAAAACCACGTCAAAGACTGCTGGGGATGACAATCGATAATAATTTTGATGTGGTCAATCTCTAAATGTTACTTACTATAAATTGACATAATACTTGCCAAAAATTAACACTAATTATAGATAGATTACTATAGAAAATTTATTCTATATAGCCAAAAAATACAAATAATAAGAACGTGGACATTTTTCTATACAGTGCGCGCAAAAACCATGGTTAATCTGAAACATAAACAAAGCCAAAACTCGCGCCAAACACAATACTATCGCCGTACTTGAAGAAATTCTTAAAGATCTGGAACCGAGTGCCCCCTGGAGTCGTGGGCGTCGTTACCGTAGTAGTAGTAGTAGGCGTGGTTACCGTGGTAGGCGTGGCCGTGCTTGTAGTCGTGGACGCGCCCGCTCCCGTGGGCGTGGAAGGGGCGGAGCTTCCGTTGGTCGTAGAGGCCGGCGTTCGGTTCAGGGCCAATTTTAGGCCACTTTTTTTGAACAGATGGAGAAATTATTTATAGGAAAATCAATAATGGTTGTCGTGCCAGTCATTAAAAAACTTGACGCAGTGTTGCTACGGCTACTTTTTTTACTTTGGTGCGGTAGTAAAATCTCACAAAAACTTACCTTCTGAACGCCGATTGGTTGTTGAGAGATTGAGGGGTTGTGGGAGGGGTTACTGGTGACGCAATCGGTGATGTTTTGCTGGGTGACGAAATGAGGGCGCTATTGGCAGTGCTAGCTGTGACGTCATTGCTCTTTTCTTCCTTGTTTGATCTAAATATTGTACAATAAATAATGTTATAGTTCTAAATAGACAAAATAATATAAAATATGTTACTAATTTAAACGGGTAAAAAAGATTGATGGTATTTTTCTACAGTTTTGAAAGAAACTAAATTATATTACTTAAAAATTTTAAACATACTGCTCCAATGAATTCGTTTTGAATGGATGTTTTTTTGACTATTTATATTTTTTTTATAAATAAAATTATCTCTTTTTGTTCAAAATATAAAATATATTATATTTCTTCAATGGAAAGTCATTCATATTTCTAAATATTTGCTTTATACATATTTTTTTTTTAATTTTGATTTAAAAAAATAACCCCTCTACACATAACGTTTACCTATTAGACGAGACGGATTAAAAACTAGCGTATGCTATGAAAGTTTGACCTATTTTTTTGATAATTATAGCACTGTATTTAGTAAAGTTGAAAGGGAAAAACATGAAATGTTACCACAAAATTGTATTTATGGTTTATATTTTATTTGTAAATATGCAAATCGAATTGTGTGATAATAGTATTCTTTGGTAATAATCATTAAATATCTCTAACCAATTTTGTAAAATTCCATTATTTTGTGAAACTATACAATGTGCAACTATGTATATTTCGAGTGAACAGGTAAGAGTGGCACGTAAAACGTTATGTGTAGAAGAAGCTTTATGTTTAGATGTAAAAATAAAAAATGAAGTCAATACATTACTATACAGGGTGAATCTTAAATAAGTGCAAATATCTTCAGGGCTGGTAGATCTCGATTAAACAAACATATTTTCTCTTTACCGTGTAAAATATTTTTCAAAAAAAACACAGACATGTTTTCTGGATTCAAAATATACAACCCCTAAAATATTTTCACTTATTTAGGACTCGCCCTGTATAGTGCCTGCTAAAAAGTTCGCAACAATATGAAAAAAAAATTATTAACCCGAGTTTTTGATGGAAAAATAAATTCAGCAGCATTTACAGGGTGTCCCAAATGCCTAAGTGAGGCAATATCATTGGTTTGGCGTCCCTAAAAGCTCTTTAAATCCGTAATAAAAAATCCGACCTCTTATCTTCCCTACTTTCCGAGTTCCCAATGATAAAACCGGGATTTGGGACGCCCTGTTGTGCATTAACACAGCGTGACAAAATCATAAATATAAATGATAAGAAAAAATGAACTGAATGAGTGTGTTTGGTGGGCTTAGTTAGTGCGTACCTGCTATTGGTTATAATAATGTCTGACTTAGGCCTAGCGGAAGAGTGGCTATAGTAATTGCTATCGTTATTTGCTTGAATGCGCGCATGCAGAGCCTTGTATCTCGCGTAGAACCTAAAAGCAGTGTGTGTTCATATTAACGACTAAATAATGTCTATACCAACGACCAAAGAATACTAGCACCCTATTTTTTTGGTGCCAAACAAAGGAAATGACACCAGCGACACTTTTAGCGATTTTTTATAGTTGTTTTATGATGTAAACTTTGTTTAAACATTATTATAATGGTGATTTGTTCAGCTTTCAAGTATAAAAGAGGCAGCGATAATAAAGAGCCAGGAATTAGATTTCATAGGTAAATAAACAAAGAGTTCCGCTTTTTTAGCGTTTTCTTGTAATTCTTCGTAATTATTTTTTTGATATAATACTGTTGCGAGCCGGTGTGGACTCGACCTAACCTCACAATATGGCCCGCCCTCGGATGACCTTAACATCGCATAGACACCGCAATGATTCATTCGTTCGAGAAGAATCGAGACCCACTAGAATGGACTAGTACATACGAGAACATTCGAAAACCTTCTCTATGCGCCTAACGATCTATGGACTATTCTAGATTTCTTTTGCTGTAGGTATAAAAGCCGGCGGCAGTGGCCTAGAGAGGGCAGTTATAAATATACCAGTGCAGTTGACGCGCTAAAATTCAAAATAAATTCTTAGTTATAAATCGTTTGTAAATAGTTCTATAAGTCTTTTATCGTTATTATTTTTGTTAATTAGTGTTAAATAAATAGTGTTTAAATAAATTGTGACTTTCTATCCACACGGAACCGACGAAAAACGTAACAATACTATGATATATCCCACATATTGTGCACAATAGTTCATACTAGTGTTAAATCTTTTGCGGGCGTTTTAATACGTTTTTTTATAACCGTTTCGCTAGTATTTTTTATCTTTAGTAGGTATACCTCGCTGGGAAGCGAACCTTTAGGCCGGCGTTTACATGTATAGAAGTGAGTCGTTATGGCAATCTAGTAAGGTGAAGTGGGCAAGAATAAGAAGTATTTATTACATAACTACTTAATCTGACGCTAGTTTCCATGCGCTTGGGAAAATACTCGCCTTCTGTCTTTATTCGGTACATCTTATTTTACTAAGCGTGTTGGCTGTACTCTTTGTACGAGGCATGTTTTTTAAGTAAGTACCGTTTTGCGATTCCGCCGCCGCAGCGCTACGGTCGGCGTTCCGCGCATGCGCGCTGGTTACCTACATCTCTTGTCTATGCACAGACGCCAGTACAGTCTGATTCTTCACTGTATACGTTGTTTATTAAGTGTTTAAGATGCCTCCGACAATCGTGAGCCCCGCCGATTGTGAAGTACGGGCTGTCATACGATTTCTTGTACGAGTGCTAAAGGCGTAAAACCGATCGATATTCATCGTGAGATCTGTGAAGTTTACGGACAAAACATTATGAGTGATGGAATAGTAAGGAAATGGGTGAGAGCATTTAAAGATGGCCGCACAAATGTGCATGATGAAGAACGGAGTGGGCGTCCTTCGGTCGTTAATGAAGATTTGGTGCAGAAAGTGGACGAAAAGTGAAAGAAAACAGACGCTTTACAATTTCATCATTGTGCGACTACTTTCCTCAATGTTCTCGTAGTGTTTTGTATCGCATTGTGACCGAGAACTTGAATTACCGGAAATTGTGTTCACGTTGGGTTCCGAAAATGTTGACGGATTTGCACAAAACCTTAACGTTTAGGCAGTGCATTGACTTTCCTTGAGCAGTACCACAATGAAGGTGAAGATTTTTTAGACAAAATTGTTACTGGTGACGAAACATGGGTGGCCTACGTCACACCAGAATCGAAACAACAGTCCATGGAATGGCGACATTCATCATCACGCAAAACAGTGAAGTTTAAGCAAACAATTTCTGCCCGGAAAATCATGTGCACAGTTTTTTGGGACAGAAAAGGAGTATTGCTAGTGGAGTTTCTGCCTCGTAATGAGACAATCAATGCAGCATCTTATTGTGAGACATTGAACAATCTGCGCCGTGCAATCCAAAACAAAAGACGTGGCAAGTTGAGTAAGGGTATTGTTTTGCTGCATGACAATGCCCGTCCACATGTGGCTAATCGGACCAAAGATCTCATCAAATCTTTTAAATGGGAAAGTCTAGATCATCCTCCATACAGCCCTGATCTGGCGCCCAGTGACTACCATTTATTCCTGCACTTGAAGAAACACCTGGGCGGTCAGCGTCTTCAAGACGATAACGAAGTCAAAACAGTTGTGATACAGTGGTTAACCAGTCAGGCGGCAGAATTTTATGAGGAGGGTATTGAAAAACTGGTGCCACGTTATGACAAGTGCCTCAATATTCACAGAAATTATGTAGAAAAGTAGATTAAGGTACAGGCTTTCATGTAAAAATAAAATTATTGCGATATCTTTGCACGTTTTTTTTTAATTCCAAAACGGCACTTACTTAAAAAACATGCCTCGTACATATGAAAACCGACACCAAAGACCAGAAATGCCGACCCTTAGTATAGGTACTTTCAACAATTATTAAGTAATTGTATAAAGATAAAACACCTGCAATGGAAAGGTCATGTATTTATGAAATTTCGTGTAAGATTAATTGTTGGCCAAACTAGAAGATCAATATTAACTAGATTTAGAGAACATATGGCTCAGATAAGACATGGTAGACCGGATAAATCTTGCGTTCCTCAACATATTGTTGATAAAGAACATCGAATAGCTATTAATAACTTAAAATTAATTAAACAAGTCTCAAATTACAGGCAATTAGACGCATATGAGAGTGTCAGAATTAATAAATGAACAGAGGAAATGTTTCTCTGTTTATACTATCTTGAGAATGTAGTTTCGGTAATTAATTGTTACACTCGGTTGGTTTCGCCACGCCCACTTGAAGCCAACTGGGCGCTTATATAAACTCTCAATTTTGTAGATATTAGTTTAGTTTTAATCATCTGCTGATAATAATAACATGGTTAGCGATACGCGCGTCCAGTGCAAAAGTAAAGTGTATTGGGGTGAATTAGTCTTTCATTTTGTAATTTTTATATAATTCTGCATTTTTTATATTAACTCTCTGGCCAAATAAAACCAAACACTCTGGCCAAATAGCTTTGGTGACAAATGGTAACAATTTGGTGTCTGGTACTATTGGTCTTTGTATTCTTTAGTCATTGGTTTATATCTTTGTTGCAGGTTTATTTCTTGAAAAGAATTCTAGCTTTAAAACATTCTGCTTTTTTAGAATGTCAAAGTTTTATAATAGATGTAATTGCTAAAAAAAACTAAATTATTCTTGATAGATAAGTGTAACGTTTTAAAAAACGTTAATTATTTTGGTATATATGGCTGTTATTCAAGACTCCAGTTCTATATGTTTTTTTTTAATTTTCTGTCCCACGTTGGGCGCCAAAATATGTAAAGTAATGTATATGTAATATGTTTATTTAATTATTCATTTAGTTTAAATAGTTTATGTTATTTTGCTTCTGACGACATTCTGAAACGCTAAGCATTTTTATCGGTTAAACAAATTTTGTTTTTACTAGTAAAAAGCCACTGGCGAGCTTGTTTTCGTTTAGATTCAACGTGGGAGTAGTGTTCACAAAAAATATTTTTTTTATTTTGTAGGTTTTCTTTCATTTCTGGTGAAAAATCCAAAATTCTTTTCAAGAAACGACTAAATATTACGCTGGGTTTCTTTTTTCTTCGATTTGCTAGGCCTATGGTTTATACTATTTTCTCGTACTAGTCTTTTAATGTACACTGTGTTTGATATATAAGAATGTATCTACAGGATGGCCCAAATTCGAGCCTTAATAATCGGAATTTCGTAAACTACAAGAGATACGAGGTCAAATGGTGTTTCAAACTTTCACCAACCCTCGTATAATGCAGTACAGACCGAGTGATTAATTTTTAATTTAAAAAAAGAGACTAAAAAGTCAAAGAATTTAGCTACAAATTGGTTAAAAAAATCATTCAAATCGGGTGACTAAATCAAAATATATTGAACATTAAGATAAATGAAAATTTTAAAGTGTTCTATTAATTGGTGATGTGTATTTATATACCATGCCATGTGTGTCATTGTTCCTTAATAAGCAGCTTAAATTGTTCTACTAAAACTAAATAAAAAAAATTGTATAAACCATAAACTCAAAACAAACCGTTTTAAACATAAATATGGATAAATGAGATTAAAAAACAGCCCCTTTGCAAAATGATGTGTTGGAATGATAAAAAATAAATAAATAATGAGAAATTTTAATAAGCGAATTTTTAGAAATGTTTGGTTAGGGTGTGTTTTCTCTGGTACACGTTAGTAGTTAGATCTAAAATTGGTTGAATAATAATAATAAATTTGCATCGCGCGGTATACGTACAAGGTGCCCAAAAAAGGTAACAAAATAAAAAAATTTTCTTGGCGGTCTCTTACCGTTTTTCAGGAAAGCGGAAAATAATTTCAACAATGAATTTGTCTTAATTTCTCATATTTTTAAGGTTTTCTAGCACATATTTTGTTAGGTATTCAATAAACAATGATGTTTTTGCTATTTTCTGTTACTTTTTTAACTAATTCTATGCTAATAGAAGAAAATTTGCTAAAATAAATTTGTAAACAATCTGAAAATGTTGGGTTATGTGTTTCTGGGATTTAAAGCAACGTTGCCAATGCTAAACCTAAATTTAGCGTGTTTTATTCGCTCATTCTGGGATTACGAAAGGCGGCCGCCAGAAGAACGGCTCCTTCCCATAACTGCTATTTTACCAACGAGATCTGACTATTTATAACCACGAAGTTGCACGAAAGAGTTTTGATTGCATTGGTAACACCCTCCGCATGGAAGCTGAAACCAATGCAATCAAAACTCTTTCGTGCAACTTCGTGGTTATAAATAGTCTTGATATAACTTCTTTGCGGAGGGGGTTAATCTTTTTTTGATATAATATAACAACAAAAGATTAACACCCTCCACATGGAAGTTGTAACCAATGCAATCAAAACTCTTCCGCGTAACTTTGTGGATATAGGTAGGTATATTTAACTATTATCAGATCTCATAATAGGTAATTTATTTAAAATCCCTAATCACCCGAAAAAATAGAAGATATGGCAACGTTGTAAATTTTCAAATTTCTGGATTAGGTCTAGAATATATTTGTCTCTCTCATTACATAGGAAAGAGAAAGAATGATATATGAAATGTCAAACTTCCATCTGGTCTTAATTTTCTTTGTTATTTTGTTAAGAAAAGTTTATTAAATAAAATTTTGGACATTTTTCTATCCTCAATCAAGTGTGGCTTTTAGATAAACTATAATATAATGAAAATATAGTGAAATTATTACTTTATAGGGCCGAAATAAAGAAAAATTCAATGTTGAAATTATTTTCCGTTTTTCTGAAAAACGGTAAGAGACCGCCAAGATAAAAGTTCAGATTCGTAATCTACGACCTCAAAATAGGGTGTATACCAATTTTGGTGAAAATCGGACGGAAAATTTCCAGTTTTTCCAATTCAAGTTTAAACACCATCAGAAAAATTATATTCAAATAAAGCCAAAAAATAAATTTAAAAATCGTGAATATACGTTTCTTTTTTCAAAAATCTTTAAAAACTATTTGAAATTTTTAAACTTTCAAGGTTTCCGAGATCCCAATTAAAACGCTCGAATTCGGGACACCCTGTACATATTTATAAATAAACGACACAGATTAAAAGACACCCGTTTATTCATTGACTTGTGTGTAAATAATCTATATTATGCTGCTTGTAATCTCAAAAAGCCCCAAAAAAGCAAAAATAAAATAAAAATGTTAATAACTGCGACTTGATAATAATAATAATAATGTTAAAAAATAACTACAGCATCTTGTTACACATCCAAAAAGCTATAAAATCATATTGCAAGGAGTTAATAACCAAGTAAAATACGTTTTTTTGTTTAAAAAAATTGTTGTTCGATTATTTAGAACACTTTCAAAAATTTAATGATAAAATATTTGAATAAAAAGGCTAAGAAAGGAGCATATCAACAAACTAACGTTCGAATTTTGTTAAAAACGCGTAAAAACCTAATGTAGGGTAGTCTCAATAATTTGTGGATTTTGTTTTACGTTGTCAATAAATATTATTAGTAAAATTGTTAAAACAATATAATTCTAATAAAAATAGATAAGTGTAACGTTTTAAAAAACGTTAATTATTTTGGTATATATGATTGAATATGGTTACTTTATTAGTTATTCAACACTCCAGTTCTATTTGTTTTTTTCGAATTTTCTGCCCCACGTTGGGCGCCAAAATATGTAAAGTAATGTATATGCAATATATATGTTTATTTAATTTTTCGTTTAGTTTTTCATAATGATTATTTATTAACAAAAATATCAGATACGCTACCGAAATTCTTAAGCCAAATTCACATACATGTTAGATCACAAATAATGCGATTCACTTTTTAAAAAAACATTTATTTGCTTTAAAACATTTATAATATTTTATTTTATTTTATTTATTAATTTTATTATAATTTAACTAAAAAATTCAAACGGACATAGTCTCGTTCGGCAACTAAACTACTCTCTCTGATTAACAAAAATAATTAGGTTTTATAATGAAAATATTGATTACATTAACAATAATCGTGAGAACAATTGAATATTATTATGATACGTTCGCGATTTCGCAACGCGCGCCGGACGTGTCGCAATAGGATGTGGCCTGCCGGGTGAACGTACTGGGTGGACCAATATAACAAATATAATTAATTAAAAATAATACATACAATTCATCATTTTGGAAGCTTTTCGTCCTCCTTAGAGTGAAATCGTTTTCATTTGTAATGTCTGGCGTGCTATTTTTAAAATCTTCTGAAAAACATAAAAAAGATATTTTTAAAACAAATATCAATACACGTGATCAAATAAAACGGTATAATTTGCCAATAAATGGTATAATTTGTTAAAATCTTTCGATCGATTATTTGTTTTAGTATCATTGTACAAATCACTAATCCTAAAATCCTCTAAAAGAGTACAAATTGCCAACTATATAGTTCAATCATTGTTGATCAATCCGTATAAAAAAACAACATGCTGTTTAATATAAAAAAATACTTACTAATATTAACACTACTTTTCTCTGGACTGTTTAGTTCACCCTTTGGTTTAATTGTCTGTCTCCAAGGCATTTTTTCCTCTGTGTTATCAATGGTTTTCGTCACAGACTGTGGTTTCACAATATTCGGTTCTTTGATTGTGATTTTGTCCGTGATAGTCTGCGAATTGACCCTATTTTTCTTTTCTGCAAAACAAATAAAATTCGAGAATTGAATATATAAAAAAAGTTCTAATTTGAAAAGTTAGATACGGAAAACCACAGAATACCTCAACTATACAGAAGCGACAGCAAACGTCAGTTCTTTTGAAGTATATTTGTCTCGAATTTATTTACCTTAAACCCGCTAGTAAAAATATAAACAAATAAAAAAAGTTAATTTGAAAATCAGCTGTTTTTTCTAATATTTTTTTTTCAAACGCCACACGGTGGGGTATTAGCATGAAAAAGGTGATCGAAATTCGAAAAAGCAAATGTGTTTAAGATTTCCCAAAAAAAGATAAACGATAAGTTAAATCATCTCTGCCAAGAATGGCGTTGCTATGGGTGTGTTTAGTTGCATTCATTTGTTTCAACGAAACGTCAAAGTTGTTACTTCTCACAGATAAGAGGTAAATGGCTAAATTTTATGTTTAAAATTATAAATTGTTGTTGTTCTTGTGCTCTTTTTACGTTTATATTATCGTTTTGATTGAAAATGGCTCAGCAAACTGCAGGTATGTATTCTACAAAAACGTATTATTTATTTTGATATTCTCTATACTAACGATTTTTTTTGCAACTAAAAGTTAGGCGTTCAGAAAATTTGATTAAATTTGTGACATTTTTATTAGAGATTTAGTTGCGCATTTCGAAGAATTCAGCATATTGTCTATATACGTTTTACTTAGTAAACATTGGGCTTTCATACAGTAAAATAAAATACTGCGACTTTTTGCGATTTTGCTGATAAAATGAGAAAAACATTCTTGGTTTCCTCTAATTTGCCAATCAGTGATATACTAATGCGAGGTGTAAACCGCGATGGCATTGTTGTGTACAAAGCGATCGCGTTAGTGCCATTAGCAGTATAGCACAATTTGGCATTACAAGCGACTTTAGTGGTATGGGCATTGCTCGCGGATCAGTCGTAGCATTAGTAGTAGTAGTTGCGATATTACTACTGGCACTGACCGTGGAAACACTGGAACAGTGATTTTTCTTTCTTTTTTTAGAATCGACGAATTATCCTTTATTTTGTTCATATTATTTCCTCTTTAATTGAAAATAGCAATGATTTATATAAGGTCTACATTAAAAAATTTCGATCAACTATCAGTGTCAAATACCCCACTGTGCGCTACAAAAGTATTAATTTTTGCGACGTGATTGACAACATAAAAAAGTCATTTTAACGCCTAGGCATAAAAGTAAAGCCAAGTAAAGCACTTTTGCGCTTAAGCATAAAAGTACGAAAATATAATATTATTAAAATGACATAAAGTGTCAAATTCAACGAGCGTAACCATAGTTTCTCGATATATAATTACATACAAGCTATGACTTTTAAATCTTTTTATATTATTTGGAACGTTTGAAATTTTTAAAAAAATTATTTGTGGCGTTTGAAAAAAATAGCATGTTCTATTCGGAGTAAAAATGACTTTTTGTGCCTCGCAACGAAAAGTATTATTTTTACTCCTAATAAAAAAATATACTATTTTGACACGTAAAAAAATAGTTTTTTACATTACGATTTTTGGCATGTCCATCACTGATATAAACCGTCAACAATCAAAACTTGACAACTAAAATAACATGACAAATAAACTTGATTCACAAAAAAAAATTGCCGATGTCGCTTCTGTATGGTTAGTTAATTCTGTGGATAAAACTACATAGAGTAAGGTCTGTTATGTTTCGACTATAAAAAAATAACTGAACTTTGCATCATTCATAAGGAAGGCACCACAAAATCATATGCAGGACGTTCTGGACTGAGCTTGCAATATAAGTTTTTAGAAAAATCCAATATCCCCCCCATATTGGAACATACCATAAAACCAACCAAAAGAATACCAGTCCAGTTATTTTTATAGTCTATGGTTGTTACAGCCCTTGCAACCTTTTTTTATCTATCCATTTTATGTTTCAGTTGAAGCAATTTGGGATAAAATTAATATCTTACATGCGGACATTTTATTTGTCTATTATAAATAATAATATTTATAATAAGAATAATTATTGACTTATTATCAGTTAGTTTTATTATTACTATACAGGTCGGGTTTGAAATTTGCACTGTTTTCTCTGACTAAAGGAGGATTTTCTTACATCTGATGACCGACGATACGACATTAAGAGTTCATTTCACTAGTCCGAAAAAGTAGCAAAATAAGCGTTCGACATTTAACGTTTTATGTAAAACTAGCTAGATATTTTTACCACAAATGAAGAAGGAAATTAAAGATAAAGGATTATACTATATTGGTATTGTAGCATATTTTTAAACAACTTCTTTATTTTTAAGATTTTGATGGTCAAACACCAACGAAATATTTCTTATGTTTGGACTAAATTTTCTCGAAAATAAAGAAATAATTTAAAATTCCGTTACAATACGGAAATAGATTGAAGTTTTGTGATTAGAGTGATATATAATTTATATGGTTTTGTAACAAATTCCTCGTTATTTTATGGAAAATGCTGAAGCTCTGCAAACCTTAATCAAGCCTTAATTAAAGTACGTGTGTTTGGTATTTTGGATGTGTTAACACGACTGGATCGGGCTAAGCCTTATGGCAGATTTCTGAAATATAAGAACGAGCCCTAACAACTAAATATTCGGGCAAACAAAAATTTATTGAAAACTATAATTTACATAAACTGTATTATCAAATTTGAGTACTAAATTAAAAATATATTAAAATGTATCATTTCTAATTATATTTAAATAATTTGGTTTCTATAAACGTTAAAATAATATAGGCGAATAAATAAACAAAAACATTACACAATATCGTGACAACTAAATGTTCGGACACTTTAAGAAATACAACCACTCCAAGCCTGTCTGGCATTGTCTTTATTAAAGATTGACATACGTCAGAGTAAAAATTTTGCCATAATTCACCTAATATCATCGTCAAATGGGCAACGGTTTGTTGGGGATCATCACGCAATTTCTGTTTCATTTTATGCCACCAGGTTTCGATAACATCCAGACTGTTTGAAGGCCATGAGAGGACCTTGATGTTATTTTCCCTAAACCACTTCTTAATAGTTTTAACCGTATGGCATGCACTATCATCCTGTTTAAATATAAAATTCATGTTCTGGAAAATGTCTACCACACTTGGCACAAAAGTGTTTTTCAAAATTCTTTGATATTTTGAACATAATGCTTTTAGGAAATTTCACTATCCTTTTGAAGCAATCTTTATAAACTGATAATTTCAACCGTAAATTGCAATTGCAAGTGCACATCAGCCAGTTTAATATCCATAAAATACAAATAATCAAACACCGCTCTAGAGTGTGTATTTGATAAAGAGTGCCTCAAAAGTACAGCGAAATTTCCTAGAGGCATTATGTTTTGAGTGTGTTTGTCAACAATGGGTCTAGGAAGGTATGAGGTGGTTGAAGGTACAATTACTAAGTAAACAAATCAAGAAATTTTGAAAAATGTTGTGCCAAGTGCGAGAGACCTTTACCAGGACATGAATTTTATATTTCAACAGGACGCTGCTCTATGTTATATGGCTAAAACTACTAAAAATAGTTTAGAGACAATAACATTAAGGTCCCTTCATGGCCTTCGAATAGTTAACGAGACGTTGTTGTGGCATAAAATGAAATAAAAATGCGTGATAATTTCCAACAAACCGGTGCCCATTTGATGATGATATAAGATGAATTATTGCAAAATTCTGAAATTGGCTTATGTCACTCATTAATAAAAATAATGCCAGATAGGATAGCAGCGGTTCTAAAAACGCATATCGATGTAACACTATATTAAAATAGTTTTTTCTTAAAATGTCCGAACATTTACTTGTCAGGATATTGTGCAACATTTTTGTTTATTTATTCGCCTACAGTTTATTTCGTCCCATTGCTGCCGAATGTCACTAACTTACTTTTTATTACTTCCGAGAAAAATGCGTCTAAAGATGAACTGCATTGCATAAAGATGTTATAGTTAGTAACTATTCGGTATTAAAATAAAACATAAATAGCCAGAAATCGTAGTTAATGACTTTTGCAATCGATTCTTCGCTTCAAAACATAGTTAGTGATTGAATTTGGTTGTTCGGAAAAATGTTAGTGACTTTTGGCAGCAATGGGACGATTTTTTTAATGTATTGTTAATGTAGTTCTTAAATTTAATAATTCAATTTATGTAAATCAAAGTTTTCAATAAATTTTTGTTTGTCCGAATATTTAGTTGTTAGGGCTCGTATATATTTCCTTCGGCCACACACCCGCTTTACCCGACCCCAGAGAGCAACCCGAACAGTACAGCGTAACAGATTCTTAATTATTAATTCTATTGGTTGAATTTAAAGACTTTTATTGATTAGAAAAGTTCGCAGTTTTTTAAATTTGCGAGAATTGCGATCAGAGCGTTGTCGGATAATCGTACCAACGGACAATGGATGCATGAAAATCCGCCTAAAGTACGATAAATATTAACATATCAGGAGGGAGAACGCTTCCATTCGCTGTTAATCAGGACCTATCTCGAAGCTGGAAGGACCAAAACATTTATAGGTTATGTACGGACATAGTATATTTAAGTTCGAGTTGTTTAGTAGGCGTAAACATAATAGCATTCGCATCATAAGGTTCGATTTACCATCTTCTTCGCTACTGCACTCTTCAGACTCTTCAGAGGTCTCCGTTTCGCTATCCGATTCGCTCTCGCTAGACACCTCCATTTCTTCAGCAGCAAAAGAGAAAAAAAGAATAGTTTTGCGTCAAAGTAGACCAAAAAAGACCCTATCCACCATTTAGGGTGTATTCCGTTGCTTACCTTGGTTATGGTTTTATGTTCCGTTTCTATCGATTTCCTGAAAGTTTTTTTTTTATTACCGAACACGGTTCCTGAAAAATTCGGTTATAACTGTCACTAAACTAACCAGCGCGAAAAACCTGGTTTTTCTGGTTTTGTTTGTCAATTAGTGTCATTTGTTTATTAATAAAGTACTTTTCAATATTAAACTCCATTGAAAAGAAGAAGCAAACGTAAAAGCAGAGAATAGGTACATTAAAAATGCATAAAAGATACATTTTATAATAGAGGTATTGAAATTTAGAAAACGTCAACATTTGACGTTTCCAGTATTTTACCAAACCGTTCCGTATCAAACCTAGTGATGTGCAGGTCGGAACGTGCCTCAGGGAACGTGCCCATGTTCCGGGAACTTTCCTCTAAGGTCGGGAAAGTGACTGAAATTCGGGAAAGTTGTATTTTGATGCGAGTTGGAATATTCCTCGGAACATTCCCCACTTTTCGGGAACTTTTCTAAAATTTAGGGAAAGTAATCAAAACATTGGAAAAGTTGTGTCACGCCACAAATAAAAAGAAGAAGTGAAACTAGGTTATAAACATAACCTAAATTTGTTTCTTTTATCGACTTGTTTTGCTTCTGTTGTTATTTATATATTATTTTGTTGTTATTAAATATATTTTGAAAGTTATATTTTCTTAACTTTATCACTTTTCTGCTTTGGGGAATATTTCCGAGAACCTTCCCGGAAAGTTTCCAATTTTTCATAACACTAAAAATTTTTTCCATTCCCATCACTATCCCGATTTGGGAACGTTCCCAGGAACATTCCCTCAAAATAAGATTCCCGGAATGTCCCCATCTCTAATCAAACCAATGTTTTTCAGGAACCGCTCTTTACTGTAGTTTACCGGTCTGGTTCGCCTAGTTTTGCAACGGAATACAGCCTTAGTTATTTACTTCTGTCATTATATGTGTTTCAAAAAATATGTGACATCTCTCATGGGGAGATTCCTCGTGTAAAAATAAAATTTATTTTTCGAATCAACATAGGTCCGATTCTGAGGCTAAAAATTACTGTAAGTGTAACAAATTTGAATGCTAAAAAAGTGTCGACATGTTCACCAGGGACGTGCCTCTGGACTATCACTGGAATATTTTTCTAAAAAAACATGTGCGCTACTGTAATGCTGTACTGTACTGCTAATCATTTTTTTTTGTAAACTATGGTGGATAGGTTTGTATTTATTTCTTGTTGTTTTATTTTCACGACAATAGAAAGTAAAGTAGTAAACATAACCTAGCAAAGTCTAACTGCCTGTCAAACTTACCGATCTCGTTATCTTTAATCTCCTCATTACCACCGGTAATTTCCACTTTCACCTTCTTCACCTGCGACTGACTGTCCGTCTCGATGGTGTTAACCTCCTCCTCCGCCCTCTTCTTCGCTTTCCTCTTGTTCACCTCCTCCTTGTTCTGTTTCTTCTTCAAGTCGTCGAGGAAGCCGAGCATCTCGTTGTCGGCCAAATCGAACGGCGTCTGACCCTGGAATAGTCAAATAAAACACTCATTCACCACAATACAGGGTGGCGCCTCTCATACGCCGCGGAAGCTCCAAGGAGAACGACAGTTTGTATTAAAATAAAATTTTGTGAATATAGAGAGTTCTACAGGGTGTCCCCAAAAAGAGTTACATATCAAAGTTGTGTTTTTTGTAATGGAACACCCTATATATTAATTGATTTTCGGATTCTGGAAGAAAAATAAAGGTGAGTTTTATAAGAGAAGTATATGACTAAAATGTATGGTTTTTGACATATTTAACATTTTCTAGAAATAAAGAACAATTTTTAAATTACAATAAAAGCTACCTAAATTGGAATTTACCCGGTATAGCCTAATATGTAGTTAAATTAACTATTGTACTTTAAATCAAATTAAAACTTGATCCAAAAAGTTATATTATACAGGGTGAGACAAAATTAATATTGAACATTGGTCACCTTTAAAAGCATGTTACTCTTTTCTTTTAAGTGGAACACCCAGTATATTATTTCGATGTTCAATGGAGCATTCATGTCTCTTCAAAATACTATTAAGGTTGCCTACTCTCAATCAAACAAAGATTTTTCCTAGATATTTTCATTTACATGATTTCATCTGAGTTGATCTTTATTATTTGATAAAATCTTGTGATGTGTCTGACGTTACTTCAACATAGCTGTCTAATTAGTTCAACTTTAACAACTAGTTATCATTTTGTATCAGTTAAAGCAAAAAAAATTCTCAGAAATTTGCCGAAAATGCAAACTTATCCTACATCAGAGAGAATTGATAGGATTCTATTAGTTGGTGAATGCAGTATGCATTCACCAATTAATAGAATACTTAAATGCGCCTGATTTTATCTAGTCATACATAATTTGAGACCTGTTTAATTAATTTTGAATTATTAATATCTCTACAATGATCTTTATCAACAATATGTTGAGCAAAGCAAGATTTATCCAGTCTACCATATCTTATCTGAGCGATAGATATGGTCTTTAAATCTAGTTAATATTGATCTTCAAGTTTGCCAAACATATTTTTGATTACAATCATTACATGAAATTTCATTAGGTAACTGCAGTATTCTAGATGTAATAGAAGACTAATAGAAGAGGTAAGAAATTTTGAAAAGTGTTTCTTTTTCAACAAAAAAGTTTTACACATTTTTAGTGATTTAGGTTAAAATAATTGATAAATGTGAAAAACAAAGACCCAACCACATTTTAGCATCCTAATGTGATAGAAAAAATACAAATTATTGTTTTATTTTCCAGACATTTTTCGCTACCCTTGCCGTCTTTTTTGAAATGGTTCAGAAAATTTTAGAGAAAAAAAATTTAGACAAGAAAAACTACTTGCCACATAATTTTTAGCATCCATATCTGCCAAATTTTCAACTAGCAATCGACTGGCATCAATCTGACCCCAATGAGCCGCAGCATGTAAAGGGGTCCAACCGTCAGCATCTTGCGCATCGATATCTGCTGAACTTTGAAGTAAAATCCTGTAAAAACATCAATAATTAGAAAACAATTCAAATAAACCTGTGTGTGAACATACAGTGTGCCTAAAATTAAAATGAATTTTTATTACGGGATAATATCCCACTTCTGATGTTAGAAAATTGAATGACGGACCTTTTGACGGGCAACGCGTACTCTATATGGATGATTCTTACCTTATTACATCTAGATAGCCTTTAGCAGCGGCGACATGAAGGGCTGTGGCCCCCGTTTTGGGGTGGGGCTCGTTAACCAAGGAACTTTTTGTCGCCAACCATTCTTTGGCGTCTCTTAACATTAGAATCTCTTCGTCGTTTCTAGCTGCATCACAGTCAATACCTGTAAAAAATGTTTGAAAAATTAAGAACTTAAAAAAACCAGTGTGTGCACTATGTGCGCATATTTGAAGTGATTTTTAGTAGTTGGTTGTGTTAGTGAACTTTGTTTAAACTCTATTACAATGGTAATTTGTTCAGCTTTCAAGTGTAAAAGGCACAATGATAAGAAAGAGCCAGGAGTTACGTTTTATAAGGAAATAAACAGACCACTCCACCTATTTACCATTTTTTATTGGATTTGATAATTATTTTTCTGATATTATATGTACAGGGTGTCCCACTAAGAATAGCTCTCGGCTGTATCTCGGGAAGTATTAGCCGTAACGGCTGCGGAAAAAAATATTTATAACTAAAGAGGCTATGGGAAATTGCTGGAAATTATTTTCAAGTTTGTAGAACGACCGCTAGGGGGCGCAACTGCAACAAAAAATAAGAAAATTGAGTTTTTAGACAATTTTGCCTAGATAAGGTGTACTATAAGTAACAGCTTCATAATCTTCAGTACATTTTGAATATTTTTTGTTAGAGCCATTTTCCCCTATCTACCAAAATAAAGTGGTGGGGGAAGGTTAGATCTGTTTTTATTTGAATATTAATAACTCTGGACTGGATGATCGGAATCCAACAAGCGAGAGCTCGTTTAAAAGAGCGTTTCTTACTCTATATTGTACCATATAAACAATAATAATAAGCTTTTGAATGTAGACGCTAGGGGGCGTTGTCTTACAATTTAACAAACATTGCGTGTTTAAATATCTCTTCAAGCAGCTAAGATAAGAAAAGTATGTGCCACGGCACTGTTTGGTGGTATGGTGACAGTTTGGTCTCTGGTGTTATCAGTCCTTGTATTCTTTAGTCATTGGCAACACTACTGTAACCCACCTCTTTTCCGAATCTCGTCCTTGAGCAGGTCCTCCATTTTCTGGCTCTCGGTGATGTCGATGGCCAGCTCGCCGTCATTGTTGACAGCGGCCACGTTGGCCCCTTTTTCGATAAGGTACTTGGCGATGTAGACGAAGCCGCAGCTGGCAGTGGCGTGCAGGGGGGTCCAGCCCTCGTTGTCCCCCCTGTTCACGTCCGCACCGTGCTCCACGAGGAACTCTACCATGTCCAGGTTGTCGTCTATGCAGGCCTAGAGAAAAAAAATATTAATATTTTACAATATACAGGGTGGTCCAAACTGTATTCCGGAAACTTCTGAAGCATATTCTGCAGAAAAAAATAAGTACAAAAGTTTGTATAAACGTATGTTCTAAAATGCTTAGTTTCGAAGATACAGGGTGTAGAAGTTTCATTTTTATTTCGATTTTTTTCCAAATAATTTCTGAAGTAACGTCAATATTTGGATGAAAATTGGTGCCTGCATGGGAGTTTTTTCACATGAGAAAACTGATTTTGATGTTAATATGACTCCTACTTGTGGAGGGAGCCACTTACATATCTTTTAACTGGTTTGAAGAATAATAACTTTTCGTCCATACCTGTATAAAACTACTGAGTAAAAATATATACAACATTTACGACAATTTTTACGTTAAAAAGGTCTCTTGGTAAAAATCGCTTCCGGTAATGATTCTCGAGATAATTTTATATAACATGTAAAAAATCAAGGAAATGTAAATTTTTTCCCTCAGTAGTTTTATACAGGTACGGACGAAAAGTTATTACTCTTCAAAACAGTTAAAACAAATGTAGGTGGCGTCCTCTAAAACAGTCAAATTGACATTTCTCATACCAGAAAACTCCCAAGAACCAATTTTCATCCAAATATTGACGTTACTTTAGAATTTATTTGAAAAAAAAATCGAAATAAAAATGTAACTTCTACATCCTGTATCTCCAAAACTAAGCATTTTAGGACATATTTTAGGTACATTTGGGAATTATATAATATAAATTATACGAACTTTTTGACTTACTTTTATCTACAGTTATACTCCGAACTGCAACAATACAGTTCGGACAACGACTGTATACTGTATATTTATTATTTTAAGTATATCCCGAGATAGGTACATAAAAACTAATAATAGGATTTTTTTTAATTCTTTTACTTAAGTGTCTGTACGACTCAGGGAATAATTTTTATAAAGTTAACCTATGGATGGATTTATACCGGGTGCGTCTGAAAAATGGCTCCCCCTATAACTTTTTTATTTTTTCAGATAAAAAAAAACAAATTTGTTAAGTTAGTATATGACATATGACATAAATTAGGATTGATTGATGTATTCAGTTGTTTTTGGTCACTTCTTGTTTCAGCAGAAATGATTACAACTTTGGATTTTTGACACCCTTGGCATTTTTTTACTTTATTCGATAGAAAATGACACTGTGAATAGAATGACATATGTCAACTTGACATTTTCACATATATGGTTTATTTGAAATATTTTAACATGCGGTTCATATCGACAATTTGACTCGAAATACCAAGTGGGTGGTACCAAATTATTCGTAAAAATGTGCATTTTCCAAATATGCTAATGAGGCACCCTTGTTCCATTTGAAAAACTTGAAATATGATTAAAAATACGATTTGGGCATCTTTTAACTGGCCAGGACAAGACACGAAAAACTTTAGACAATCAAATATATTTTCCCAAGTTTACTTGATTAAAAATGAGTATTTTTAACATAACCATGGCAATTTAGATTTAAATTTAAAATAAGTATGATTTTTTTAAGCGAAAATGTCAGAAGTTCCCCAGCCCTCGTTGACACCGTTTTTTTTCGATCGTCTGGTTTTTATGTTTATTCCACCTTAAGGCACCGTTCATGAAGTTTTTTCTGTTATTTACTATAAAATGGATTTTTTTTTATTTAAATTTCCTTTGTAAACAAGCAAAACTTAAAAATAAGTATTGTTCGGTAATAATCACTAAATATCTCTAAATGATTTTGCAAAATTACATTAGTTTGTGAACCTATGCAAAAATATTATTTTTTTAAAAATCACTCATTGAAGATGCTGCAATATATCCATAATATTTCTTGTAAGTTTACTTAATTCAGTGTTTTTTCGTTGTAAAACTGAATGATCCATCTACACTCTACACACAAGGTCTTACTTGATATGTTTTGACTGTACGGGTAAGACTGACAGGTAAAACGATGTGTAGACAGGGCTTAAAGCTATTGTATGAGAAACACTAAAAAAAGGAATTAAAACTATTTTAAGATATATTTATTCCAGACAATAGTTGTCAACCACCTTAACTTGCAGACAAAACAAAACTACCAGTGTATAAAAATAGCAACTCAAATTAGCATATGAGTAATAAGATATTTATTAACTATTTAGTTGCCAATACTACTATTAATGTTTTATAGCACGTGGAAACTTTACAAAACATACAGAGCAGTGTAATGTAAATTTTAAGAGGATTTTATAGGACCGTTTCATAAGAAAATGAATAATTTTTGATTCATAAACAAAATAAAAAAAATACAATGATTTAGCCTATTCCCACTACGCAGTTCAACAACCTTTTCTACTGGAATTAATAATGTTCCAATTAACACAAATAGAAAGGTGAATCAGAAATTATTAAATAAACCTGTCAAAATAAAAACAATAGCTCTTCAAACCAAACCAAACAAAAATACCGCCTTGACACCGAACGGAACAACCTTAAAGGGCTGAATTACCGTTATCCAAATCCTCTGGCTTTATTTTTTCGGGCTTTACGTAATTTCTCTGGACAATTTTAAGAGCATTACTATATAGAGCAATTTTCGCGGCCATATTGAGTATTTACGTCACGCAATTTAAAGACTGCGAAAAGTTATATTTATGTACCTGATGGAGGGCCGTGAGTCCGTCCACGTTCGCCGTGTTTATGTCGGCCCCTTTGCCCAGCAATTTGTGCACTTCTTCCTTGTCGCCGGCCGCACACGCGGCCAAGAAAACACATCCCGAGGAGAACTTAACTTTGCGAGATTTTTGCTTCGGTGACACTGGTTCGCGATTCGTGTCCGATTCCTCCCATCTTTTGAGCTGTTCGGCCCTTTTAAAAAGCGCCGAACTGGACCGGGTCTCTAAGGACATGATTATTTAACACTTTTTAGAGTGCACGGTCCGACCCGGACAGCATTACGATATTTTTTTTCTGTACAAAATCCGATCCACTTCACACCTTTTGACAGGGGCGCGGCTAACGTCAAAATTTCAATCGCGGTTAGAAAATGCGGCTCGTTTTGTCGAAATACTTAAGCACGGAAGTCTTTTACAGCGATTATTACGCTCAAAACTGATTTAATAACTATTTATTTCGTAAATCCTTTGTAATTACTCTTATTTATTAATTAATTTAAATTTTTAAATAATGTAAAATTAAACATCTCAAAAATACCCCCAATCGTTCCTCCGATTTCCGGTTTTGTAAAGCGCATGTCCGACTTTTGGCTTGCCATGTTGCCATATTCACTAAAAATCGTAAATTTTAAGAATGTATTTCAATTTCAAAAATGTATTTTCCTTATATATTGTTTTAATTGGATCTCAATCTAATACTGTTTAGCATTTAAAATATACTTAATAATAAAATCCAATTAAATTTTAATAAAAGTCATTGTATAAAAAATAAAAATATATATTTTATTATTTTTCTTACAAAATATAGTTTGGCAACACTGCCCTTCCACAATATAAATTCTTCTGTGGCTCTTGGTCCTCCATTTTGAATTTGATGTGTCGGCGTTTTTGGTTCGCGTTCTAGCTGTTTAATTCCTGGATAATATAAGGAATTTATAGTTTATTTAGACCTAAAAGCAACATATTCATATCGAGTTTTGTGCATTTTCGATTCGAGTGGTAAGTAAACCTTTAACTAGACTAAATTAGGGTGTTTTCCCGTTGGGCAATGCCGATCGATTTTCCAGTTACTTTTCATACATTTTTATTAAATTTATAACTAAATCACACGCACATAACGTACAGCATGTTACAAATTAAGTATTAAAGGCCCGAGAAGTGTTTTACAAGTAATTTCTAGACAGTACTTCAGGGCTAGAGTAAAAGCATTGTCTACTAATTATACAGGGTCAACATATTAATTTTACATTATATAAATACGTTTTTTGGTGTAGATTTTTCAACTACATCATGGTCAGAGGCGGTAGAGGAGGATATTCAAGGGGAAACTCTTACAGGGGCTCCAATCGAGGCAATTCATCTTGGAATAGTGGAGGTAAGACTTATTATTTTCTGTTAAATATTGTTTCAGAGTTATTTTAGTCTAAAATATGCATTTATTCTTTGTGTGTGTTTTATGTGAAATTAATGTAATATAAACTATTCTATTCAAATGTAGGATACGGTAGATCTTCACCTGATCGATTTTCATTCGGCAACAAATATGGCGGTGACAGATATTCAAGAAATGATGAGTATTCTAAACCATATAGAGTGGTGAGTATATTTACTACTTATTATTATTATTTCTGTTAGATGTTTAAATCAAGTTGATTTAAATCATTGCAACCTGATTTGAAACAATTAGATTTAGGAAATATTGATTTTAAACTACTTTTTCTTAATTTTTCAGGAAAGTTATGGGCGCGACCGTCATTCTCCTGAGCGAAAAAGACAAAGGGTAGAGGTAATTATTAATTTTTCTTTATAGTATCGATTTTTACAGGCTTTAAAGGATTGTAAATAATAGATCATTATTTACATGATGAAGCATGGTTCATTGGAATGAGTAAGAATACACTGACATTGAATTTATTGCAATATATCTATTAAAAAACTACTCAAAAATGAGAGACACACATGAATACATTTTATGCTAATGAATATAGCAGAGAATCAGAATTATAGAAATGTTTCCAAAATATAATCTAGTAGATATACTCAGAATTTTTAAAACTTCAATGTACTTGTCAGGGTAGACAGTTAAATTGACAGACAAATTGACAGACATTGAGTGTACCTATAAAAGGAACTATGGTGGCATTAAAATGATACATTTTAACATTCTAAATTGTGGAAGTGTCAAAAATGCATTGATGTTAGGAAAGGAAGCTGATAAATCTTATTTTTTTCGAATGCATATATTAGAGCTGTAAAAAATGACTGTAGTAGAAAGAAAGTAGGAAGCTACTATAAGGGCAGGTTTTCTAAGAAATTCTTTATGCTATCACAAATTGAAATTGTTATTCTTACTCATAAGTAATTTTGCTTTTTGGAACTTTTGAGTATACTTTTGAACTTGTACTTGACTTCAGTATTAAAATATTCAGTCAGCTGCTTAATATGTCATCGTGTTGTCATTTAACCTGAACATTGTTAAGAGGAGATCATGCTATTTATTTTTTAGTACCTAACATAAATGAAATAACTAGAAAAGTAGTATTCTTTACTTTATGTGCTGTTTATCGACATCCACATACCTTAAGAGATATGAGAGATATTAAGAAAGGACAGACACATATAGTATGGTTATAAGAAAGAGATTGTCTTGGAAAAATAACTAAAGGTTCTGTAACCCTACTTTGTAGAGACGCCTTTAAAAAGAACGGCTGGTTTTAGGACTGATATGTCTACTATATCCCAGTTAACTGTATAAATTGTCATTGTATTGCCCCATTTTAAGAATATTAGTATATTTTGGAAATATGTTCATGTAAGATCATGAGAAAGGCATTGTCTTGAACTAGAATACATGTTCAAATTTAATTTATTTTTAGAAATATAAGATATATTAAAAAAATGCTTGATTCAGATTGAATCATGTATGAAAATACCACAGTTTTTGTTGCTTCATTTAAGAATATTGGTGTTGGGAGATATTAAAAAAGGACTGACATTTATAGTATTGGTATAAGAAAGAAATTATCTTGGAAAAATCATTAAATATTCTTTAACCCTACTTTATAAGAGACATTTTAAAAAGGAAAGACTGGTTTTGAGGTTGACACATGTCTACTACATCCAGTTAACTGTTTAAAATGTCACTGTCATTCAAGAATAAGGTTATGACAAAGACATTGTCTTGAAAAAGAAGTTTTCTTTACCTTACTTTATATTATTCTGTGTTGATATACACATAAATTTATTATTAGAGATGTATATTAAAAAAAAACGATTGATTCTTGAATGAATGAATTTTGTCTCGATATGTCACAGTTAGCTGCTAAAAATATGGGTTTAGGACATGATAGTGACGAGAAACAATTCTTATAAGATAGATTTTTCCTAAAAAAAAAACGACAGATAAAAGGAGACCAGGAACAGACCGTATCCTAACCTCACTTTTTCACCCCCCTTGTTACGCAGGCATCACGTCACGACTCCTACAGCGGAGGAGGTGGAGGCTCGTACAACTCTGGCGGCCGATACGAAGGCGGAGGAGGCTACGCCCCCGAAAGAAGGGGCTATTCCGGCGAGAGGGAGAGACACATTACCACCTCGACGCCCTTCCACGCCTCCAGGCGCCTCGAGTCCGAGTTCCGCAAGCCGTCCAGGCCGTCGCCTAGGGGCGGCTACAGGGGCTCGAGGGGACGCAGGGGCGCCGTCGGCAGGAGAGAGAGGGGTGGCGGGTTCCCCCCGAGGAGACGGTTGGGAGAGAGTTCGTACGGCATCAGGAAGAGGGGCATAATGATACGAGCTGCTGCTGAACGGAGAGCCAAGATTATTAGAATGAGGAGGTAATTTTTGATGATTATGTTTTATTGATATTTTTGCAGGGATTTTGAACAAGAGAAAATAGGAGAATGTGTACTGAGGAAAAAAGTGTTGATGAGAAAAACCTGTGGAAAGATATTAACAAGAAATGATGTAGAAAGAGAATATGGATTTTATTGGAAAATAACCTAAAAAGTTTTAAATATTATTATTTTTTATTAATTTCGTACAGGGCGGTCCATTTTTTATGTTTTCATTTAGAGTGACTGTAGTTTTTCTATCCACGTTGGTTTATAAGATCTAAATATAGAGGGTCCGGCAATGGTGCGTCTGTAGCGCCTAGAATAAAAAACTAGGGAATTTTTTTCAAGTGCAAATCTAAGGGCTCGAACACACTGACGACCAGGTCGCACCGGCCAGGCCGCAGCTACCTCTAAAGCCATTAAATCAAATGATATAGCGCACACTAACGTCCTGGCCGTCCGTTGGTCGTTGCGACCAGAAGACAGCACGGAAATATTATTTTCTGCCGCTTGTTGCCGGTTTTCTTCCAAATTAATAATTTTTCAGAGAAATCCCTCAAACTCAAGGCACAATATTTTATTTTCTATAAGATATAGTGTTTCAGTGTAGTTTTTGCACACGTGCAGAAAATCCGAAAAAATAGTATACAGACTGGATCAAAGGTAAACTTAAATCTAATCCTTTTTTTTTTATCAAGGGTCGATTCTAGTAAAAACTCAAAACATTTTTATATGATATTCCTACTCTATTTATGGTTGGTATGATACCTGTTATTATACCTTTGAGTTTCGATGTTAAAAAATAAAAAAAATAATATTTAAAGTTTTTCTACAACCACCTGTTTTTTTTATTAAATTAATTTTTTTAGTTGTATTGTAGTCATGTACAAGGAGGACAACTGTATTTTAAATATTATATTTAATTTAACGTTTTTCAAACAGGGTTCATTAGACTATATTTCGACTAGGTACAGTATTTTGAAAAAAAAATTAAGAAAGTAACTTAAACATTCATAAAAATGGAAGTAATTACTGTTGTAGATTCTTCGTTATATTGTAAACATTGAAATAACTGGAAGCTAAACTTTTTACCTGCTTATATTTAGAGCCAGTGTCTGACGATCTTTTTTTACGATGGCCCTAATATGTTTACTTCTTAAGTCGATAAGGGCGCCATATCAGTAGAAAAAAGAAACAGAATATCTCCCTTTTTGTCGGTCGCGCGTACGCAATACTTTTTGTTTGTTGTGAATAGCAACTTCGCTTTTTAGTTAACTCGGATATTTTAACATTTCTGAAACAATATTTTCTAATTGGTAAAACGTAAAAAATCGTTAAATTTGACAACTCTGTTCAAACCGGTCGTTCATCTGGCCGCAGCTAAAAACGCAATACATCCGGCCAGGTCGTTGCGACCTGGTCGTCAGTGAGTTCGAGCCCCAAAGGATGTACCATTGCGATAAAAAAATAGTAGTACAAGAATTAGTAGTCCCAGATAGAACTCCTGTTCTATAAGGATATCGAGAAGTGGATATCGTCGTCACTATGAAATACTAGGATGAATTTCAGGAAAATATTTTAACTTCTACAGGGTGAAAGGTACAAGAATTAAAAAATGAACATTTTTTTATTTAAAGTATTTCAAAATTTTTAACGGTTTCGCAGCTACTCGCGGTATTATTTTATATGGCTTTTTCAATGGTAAAATACGAGAGAAAAATCATTGGGCGACTTTGATAAAAATTTATTGTTGAATTTTTTCTATTTCTTCATTTGTTAAAAAATAATATACAGGGTATTCCATTTGAAAATACGAAGAAAAATTATTTTATATTTTAGAAAGTTTGGCGTAGAATTTTGAATATCCTGTATGATTTAAGATTACGATATTTATAGTGAAGTAAGAACATATCATCTAAAGTAAATATCTAATATAGTTTTAAATTTCGGGACAGTTCTTGTATTTTTAATAATTTTTTTAATAAAGGTTGAAAAATATATATTTTCTATTTATTTATTAATATCTTTGAAACTATCGAAATATATTTGCTCATATCTTAAGATTTTTGTAAAGTAATCTGAAAGGAAGCCGAAATTGCAATAATATACAGGGTGTTCCATTTAAAAAAAAATCATCCCGATCCACACACACTTTCTGAACCATCTTGTAGAAGTTAATATATTTTAACTACTTAGGTTTGCACTTAAAAAAATATTTTATTCTAGGACCCTGTATAACTAAAAAATTCTTGCCATTTTAAATACCTTTTTGTGTCGATTTTTAAAGGCCTACTACAAAATCTGGACGTCCTTGTTTAATTCGATTGTTTCTATCGATTTTTCCTCAATAAAAAATCTTCTGTTTAGTCGTCGCAAGCCAGCTCTAGACATGGAAAAGAGCGACAGCGAAGAAGAAAAGAAGGAAACTAAAGAATCCTCAGAGGTGAAAGCCAAGAAAGATAAACCTGAGACTGCTGCAACAGAGGAGGAAGAAGCAACTGAAGCAAAAGATACTGAAACTACTGAAGCAGAAGAAACTAAGGTAACTATTTTAATCCTAAATTAATAAAAGGTGTATAATTTTTTTTTTCATTTCTTTTTGTCTAGGAGGAAGGTGTTGAAAAGGCTGATGAATCTAAGCCAAAAGAGAAGAAGGAAAAAGTAGAAGAAGCGAAGACTAGCAGCAAGAGAAGTAGCAGCAATCCGTTTATTAAGTTAGTCTGTCCTCAGTGCAACGTTAATGTAAGTAAAAAGTTTCCGAGATACCAATGCTCGTACCTCGAATTTGTAGCACCCTGTATATTAGTCCATATATATTATAACTTAATTCTACCCCAATCTCCCTACAGGTATCCACGTTCCGTCGCTACGAGGCCCACTTGCACGGCCGCACCCACAAGATCTCCATGAGCAAGGTGGCGACGAAGCAGCGCAGCATCCTGATCCAGATGCGCCAGGCGCAGCGCAAGGCGCAGAACGAGCTGGAGAAGAACAGCAGCACCGACGAGCTGGCGTCGCGCAGCATGTTCTGCAACCTGTGCAAGCTCAACTTCAAGCAGCTCAAGGCGGACCATCAGGCCAGTCAGGCGCACAGGAACATGAAGAAGTACTTGCTGCCGTTCTGCAAGGTGTGCAAGATCACTTGCAAGAGTCCTATGAATTACGAGAGTCACTTGTGCTCGATCGATCATCTTAAGGTAGGTTCTAGGGTGTTTTTTTATATTTTTAGGTATACGGTACGACTATTTTGAGACCTTGCTTACCTTGGTTATGGTTTTATGTTCCGTTTCTATCGGTTTCCTGAAAGTTTTCTTATTACGGAACACGGTTCCTGAAAAATTCGGTTATAACCGTCACCAAACTAACCAGCGCACAGTGCTTCGTCCCATGGACAAAAATCGAAAAAAAAGTTAAAATATACTAATATCTGAATATGTAATTTTATACTTATAGCAATGTTCAACCATCCTGTATATTATTTTTCATAAACAGCGATTTTTGTTAGCAAATATTTTCACTAAAAATAAATTTTGCGATCATTATCTTATCAGTGAAAAGAATAACATTCATAGTAGTTCTGTATATTATGGAGCTAAAGGGTACGTACTTAATTGAAAGCCACTATGGATATTGTTAAACAAGGTATGTACTTTAAATTTATTTCTAAACAAGTTCGTGATTGTTTAGTTTTTATTTTTTAAGATGATTTCTAAATAGGTATAAAAAATTTACGTTTTCAAACTTCAAAAAGGCATTTAAAAAAAACATATCAAAACATATCGTATTTATTGAATATTTTTGTTGTCATATTCATACACTTTTAATTTTTGTATAGTTCACCTGCGTCTGCTTGCCACGGACTTTATTTTATAATACTTTTCAGATGGAGTAAAATTGATAAGCAATGCCGATCTGGTTAATACTTGACTTAATCATAAGGACAAGAACTCAAATTTTTTTGTATTTCAAAAAATGTGTTCTTTATTCGATATTGATGAACCTTCCAGTCAAATGAGACACCACTTGTGCCTGAAAAAGCCCACTATGTTGGAGCGAAACGTCGCATAAAAAAGTTTCCATCTTTCAATTTATTATAAAACCTCATACTCAAGAAAAGGAAAAAAATAATATATGGATATGGTCTATTAAAGAGGTAACTATTAACATCCGAACCCCTCATACCAACAAAAAGAACAGTAACAACGCGAAAAAGTAACATATTAGAAAGTAATGTACAGAAATATCTTATATGTGAGGATACTTCATCTACCTGTGATTTGGATACTATAAATTTGGAAGATTCTGTCAGCAGTGATTCTTCTGAATCAGAGTAGTTACGATCTATGCATTTTGTTGTCCTAAAGTAAATTTATAGTATCTTCAGTTTTTTTTTTAATTAAATATAACATTATTGTTTCTTTTTCATTAAAGAAAAACATTTTTATCTTATATTAGGCTTATATTGTAGGAATCATGTTCTAATGTTATTTCAATTCTTTTTTATCACAGGGATTTATTTAATACTTACACCGTTTTCATACTATAAATTATTATTTCCTTAGCTGTAACACAGCTCCAACATTTTTATTATTTATAAGATTTTTTTTCATAAACGTAGGACTAAGAACATCATCATTTAGTACAATGAGAGTACTCATCATTTTTGTCAAATAAACCTAGTTTGAATAAATTGCCTACGATAATAGAGTAGTTTTGCATTTTTGTCCTCTAGAGGCCATATGTTTGAAGCACTGTGCAGCGCGAGGAGGCTGGTTTTTCTCGTTTTGTTTGTCAATCAATGTCATTTATGTGACAGAAATCAAGCAAATATTGGAAGTTTGAGTGAAATTCTCATTTAATTTCCAAAATTTGTAATAATATTTTGTATTTGCATCCAAAAGCAACGGAGGTAGGCAGTAAAGGTAAATAAATTTCATTAACTAAATAGACTGGCTTTTTAGGACTATTTAAACTTATCATGCAGCCATTGTTTGTTAAAGTCAGGAACATTTAAAGAAAACATGAAAAACAAGACAACAAGTAATCGTGAATGTTTTGTAAGCTATAAAAATATAAATATTGATTAGATTTGTTTATCTATTATTGATCTGTTTTAATATTGGACCTCAAATCTTCACTTGAGCTGTCTAATGAGTTTAACAGTTTATTAATTAAGTACTTTTCAATATTAAACTCCATTGAAAAGAAGAAGCAAACGTACAAGCAGAGAATAGGTACACTAAAAATGCATAAAAGATAAATTTTATAACAGAGGTAGTATTTCACCCTTTGAATAAGAAGACTAAGGAAGGAGCATAATGCTATCCATGTATTCATGCATGGTGGGCGGAAAAAGCTCTCTAGGGTGGGGATCCCTGACAGTTCTGTTTGACGATTCATTTGACACATTTGAATTTGATTTGAAATTTTGTGGATTTGTCAGTCTTTACGGAGCATATTTTATGTTATTTATTATTTATTCTACTACTGATAGTTGTATAAAGGTAGTAAATCTAGCTGAAAATTGTGGCAGAGCTTAAATTAACAGTGACATTATCGCGATTTATCGAAAAAGACTCTAAAATAGTTGGTTGCATGGTACAAAGAAAACAAGGTATGATCGATAGCGGCTCCAAGTTTGCGCATACCATCTGTGACGTCATACCCCATACAAAAAATATCCATATTGTACAATTGCCACTAATAAAAAAAGACCTAAAGTGGGGAAGAATTAGGACATAACCCCAAAAGTTATGTCAAATCATCGAGCTTGACATTTGAAAAGTTATTTTCACATTTTGACACAATCAAATTTCACAGATGACACAATCTGTTTGACAATTTGAAATTGGCGCGCAGAGCTTGTCGACCAATGGTGCCGTTTATCACCTGTGACGTAGTGACCAACCTGCGCAATATCATACCTTGTATTCTTTGTATCGCCGTTGGTTGTGTAGCGTGCGGTAGATCTCGGCAAAAATGTGTGAAATAATGGAACAACTTTTCGCTAGTAAGTGACTATATAATATACATACGTTTAGTAAACCGATCATTTATGAAATTCACTTAAATTAACTAATTATATATTTTTTCTTGCATTTTTGCTATTATTTACTACTTGTCAAAGATTAGATGTCAAAGAATTTAGATACGTCAATTTGACTTACCTGCTTCAGTAGCGTATCGGATGTTTATGGTTATAAATAATTATTATAACTGAACTATTTTTATTAGAATTTTATATTTATAACCCAATTTTAATAACTACCAACATTTATTCACAATGTAAAATAAAAAAAATTATTGAGTCTACCCCACGTCTACCCTACATAATAGTTTTACATTTTTTAAATAAAATTAGAACGTCACTGATAAACCGGAATTTAAGTCGGCCATATTTGAGGTCCATCGCGGTGGACCTAAGATTTTTTATATGCTCCTTCCTTAGTCTTTTTATTCAAAGATTTTACCAAACCGTTCCGTATCAAACCGATATTTTTCAGGAACCGCTCTTTACCGTAGTTTACCGGTCTGGTTCGCCTGGTTTTGCAACGGAATACAGCTTAAAATTCGATTTTACTTTTACAGGGTGTATCAAACAGTTTTCCAACAAATGGGACAATTTTTTTATTATTGATTTATTGAATAAAACGTTGTATATGGAATTTCTTCGCTATGTTGTCTTTGTTTTTAACATTCTTGGTAAGATTCGTTATTTTTTTTGATTATAGAGAAAACAGAGAAATGTGGGAAGCAGCGAGGGTTCCGCCGAAGAAGATAATTTAGAAGATTTCACAACTATCGATTCCGTTGGCGAAGTTGAAGAAACCCCAGGTAAATATACCGTAAGATCAGAAAAACAAAAAGGGAAAAAACAATGTCAGGGTTGGTTTGGAAATGACGATCGCCGTCATTTATGGTGAATGTCATCGATTTCTCGGCGTTTTCAAGCTAACTTGACACAGTTTTTTTTATCATACAGTATAATTAAGTTGATTAACAAACTAATACCACAATCTTTGAATATAAACATTAAGCAAGGATTATAACGCTAGGATATATTGCTAACACCGCATTTACACAATGAGTGGAAAGTGAAGCCAAAGAAAAGAAACAGGAATATCAATCTTGCATAAGTCTATCCTTTTCGTTGAACAAGATTTTCGTGCGCACGCGTCAAATAAAACGATCTGATTTGTGTACATTATCGCTGAATGCTGTCACCTGCCCGCGCACTATTTTAAACTCTAAATATTAATAAGGTATAATATATTATTTGTTTATTGGTAATGGCATTATTTCAACTTGTTATTTTAGATATTTATCATATCTATCCGTTTCTTGTTTTTGTTTAAATTATCAGAGATTAAATTTAAATTTATAAGTAAAGGCGCGAATAGTCAGACGCTAAATTGATTTACGTGGTAGATAAAAACAATATGGCGATATTATTATATAACTTGGTAATATATCTCGTTGGAATTTGACTTTCGAAAAATCCGTTTGCCAAAAATAAGCTTTTTACGTCAAGCAGTTTAAGCAGAATCGTGGTTAAGAAATTACCCAACTTTTTGGAACACCCTATATAATTTTTTAAAAAATTTCAAAATATGTTAAAAACCAAATAAATTATACTTGTCCAAGCGTTTTCCCGAAAGACTAACCGTTTTTTAAATAACAAATATTGTAGTATTTGAGGGGCGTTTTCACCCTCTTGGAATTTGAGATTCGAGAAAACTTCTTAAGTCAATGCGTTTGCCAAAAATCAGCTTTAAATGTCAAGAAGTTTCAGCAGAATCGTGATTACTCAATGGTCATATTTTATGAAACACCCTGTATAAATTTATAAAAAAATCTTAAAATATGTAAAACAACAAAATAAAATATACGTGTTTAAGAGTTTTTTCCGAAACCGGTTTTTAAATAAAAATATTTTAATATTTGAGGGATAGTTTCACCCCCTTAGAATTCGAGTTTCGAAAAATCCCTTCTCATCGAACCTCTACACCCTAAAGTCAATCTGTTTTCCAAAAATCAGCTTTTTACGTCAAGCGCTTTAAGCAGGATCGTGATTAATAAATGACCAGATTTTTCGAAACACCCTGTATACATTTTTAAAAAATCGTAAAATATGTAAAAAAACAAAATAAAATATACGTGTTTAAGCGTTTTTTCGGAAACTTGACCGTTTTTTAAATAAAAAATATTGTAATATTTGAGGGACGGTTTCACCCTTTTGGAACTGGAATTTCGAAAAATCCCTTCTTATCGAACCTCTACACCCTAGAATCAACCTGTATGCCAAAATTGAGCTTCTTACGTTGAGTGGTTTGAGCAGGATCGTGATTAATCAGTATGTCAGTCACTTAAGGATTTTATATATTAGTATAGATTTACAGTGAACAGAACGCAGAGTAGGTCAAATGTACCGACATACAAAATACTTAAAAAAGACAAAAATTTCGGTGAAAAAAATGAAATTCACGGCTGTAAATAACTCTTGAATGTTTATGATGAAAATAACTTTTTTTAGCATCTGCAGATGATGAAAAGGAGGAAGTGAGCGTGGGCATCGAGCAAATTAGGAAAGTGGAAGTCCACTATTGTGACCTTTGCAGAACGTATTTACCAAGGGACTATCCGAGGGATAAATCGCCTAGTGAAGTTCAGAAAATGTTGGCATCGTAAGTGTTAAAATAATTATTATTTGTTTTAACGTCTTGGTGTACCTAAATTAAAATTTACCGATAAAAATATTTTTTACAGGCATTGCAGAATACGCCCGCACATGCAGCGCTACATCAGATACCAGGAAAATCAGGAACTAAAGAAGAGAGCTGAAAAGTTGCAAAGGAAGGAAACTGCAGAGAGGGAGAAGAAAAAGGAGGAAAAGTCTCACAAAGAAGGTATATATGAAGCGTCAAAACCCGCCTTATCTTTTTTTTTAAATTGCTTAATGGCGTATATTAATAGTGGACATTAAAATCTACATAAACATAGTCTCAAACTGCAGCAAAAGTCGCCTATTCCTATATAAAACAATGATTCCACTCAATGAACACGTTTTTTTTTGTAAAATAACCCTTCAGACATTTGCTAAAACAGTTTTTGCATATCTCAAAACAACATTTTTGAGATAAAATGGGGTTTTTAATTTTTTTGGGGTATTTTTTATTATATTATTTTTATTTTTATGAAAAAAAAACATATATTTTTGATTCTAGGGGATGAGAGTATCACAGATGCTTCAGAATCGAAAGACAAGTCTAAAAGCGGGACTGACAAAGACTCAAAGTTGACAGACGAAGACAAACTGTGGGAATCTGTGGATAAAGATATAGGAGAGCTTTTGGAAGAAGGAGACACTGTTAAGAGTGATGATGATGATGACGATTCCAGAATCAACAATGAAAGATTTGACAGGTAAGAGTAATCATAACCTTAAATTTTCAGGGTATAAGCACAGATTATACAGATTATAATCTTTGTTTTTTTTTATTGTTTTTCGTGGTTCCAATTTTCGGAATCGGGCACTAGTTAGGTTACTAGTTTGCGCACATATCACGCCCACTTATGGCCTCTAAAATTGTGCACAGCGCCTGACCGTCACAGTTATTAGAGAGATATCGCAAAACTGAATAGCGTCATGCAGTTATTCAGTTACGCGTACCTTATCATGGTTTTAGAATTTAGAATAAGTGGGAGGGGGGTTAATCTCTGTGACCTTAGAGATCTATTGTGTCCCCCTTTCTTGAGTTATAACTCATCATACAGTCCCAGGACTTCCTACGGAGACCCGTGTCCTTCACAGTCGAGGAGCTACGACCCAGGCCGGGTAGACGAAACGGTAGCTTGTGTCGCCTGTTGAGTTTAGAGGTAGGAGGTAGGCTCCCGACCCTTGGAGGAGGTGGTAACTTGTATGCCACTTGCGGAGGATGGTCTCACGCAAGTGTCAGCTACCTCTCCTGTAGTTCTCTTTGGGTTTGGCTCCTTGGAACTTTCATTGTTACTGTTCCCAGTGTTGCTAGGGGATTTCCCCACAGCTTCACCGGTGATGTTTTTATTACTATTATTACCAGATCCCATAGTGTTCCCATGAGTCGCTAGGGACAGTCGGTCCACTTCTACAGAGCGCCGCATGTAGAAGTAAGGGGTAAAATACAATGGGGTGCCCCCCGATGCCCCAAGATTGAGGCTGTCCGTAGCCCCGCCCGGTATCGTTATATGTCTTGGTGCAATTCCCTGGCCACGACACTACAGTCAGGGACAAGACGATGAGTGAGATGCTTCTTAGACCAAGCCAAGTGCTAGGGAGGATTCCCCCCAGCACCTGACCAGGAGCTTCCCCACCAACGACAAGGTCTTGCATCTCCTAGGGGAAGACCTTATCATGGTTACGATATGCGCGAGTGAATTTTTAACGCAACGCCCGCTAATAACGTTACTGCCTGACGTAATTTGCGGATCAATTACACCAAGCGCTATTTCTAAATAACGTTTAAAAATTGCTAAATGGGCATGTGCGGGTATTTGACAACCGGGGCCGACCGGCGAGATCTTTTATTTTTGGTTATGATTGAATTGTCTTGAATTATTACTTTAGTTTTATTAGGTAATTTGATATTTAAGTAGCTGGGATTAGTTTTAATTAAATAAATATGGCCCAAAATATGGATTCCACCTCTTCCCATATTAAAGAACCTATAAAGAGACTTAGGTTTACAGCAGATGACGACTTAGCCCTTCTAAGAGAATTTGTTGCTTGTTGCTCTAAACCCACTGGCAGACGTTGAACAATAAAGCACTGAAAATAAGCACTTTAGCTCTTTAATTTTAAAATACCTAGTAAACAAAACAATTTCAGTTTTAAATTGAAAGTTAGGTTAAGTTTAAATAGCGGACGCGACGCGAACAGATTTCTTTCCGATCCGATAACTATAAATGAAGAGACTTAATACCACCTCACGTAAAGGAAATAACACCTGGCCTTATTAACGTTATCCTTATTAACGCTATTCGGTTTAGCGATATCTCTCTATTACGCTGTTTATTGTTATTTTACGCGAGTTTATTTTTGCGCACAGGAAATTTTACTCGTTTGCACATCGTCATAAAAAACAATTTTCGTACCACGAATGGTGTACGTCCCTGGTGAATCTGTCGACACTTTTTATACCCTCAAAATATTCGAACCGCTAAAAGGCACTTGGGAGAAAATTATAATAAATCGAGAAAAGAAGACTGTTGTAACAAAGCAGAATCGGATTGTTTTACTTTTTTTAGGGACTTAATGTTATTTTTATGTGAGGAATCTCCCCCAGATGGCACATTTTTGAAACACCCTGTATATATACGACTGCACTTAATCATAAAAATAAAAGTGTCTAAGAAAATCTTTGTCTGAGAGATAGGCAACCTTAATTCTCCTTTGAATATTGGAATAATATACTGGGCGTTCCAGTTGAAATAAAAGAGTAACTTATTGCTTTAAAAAATGACCACTGTTCAATATTAATTTTGTCTCGCCCTGTATAACTTTTCGGGTCATGTTTTAATTTGATTTAACGTAAAGTGGATATTTCAACTACTTAGTAGGCTGTACTGGGTGCATTCAAATTTAGGCAGCTTTTATTGAAATAAAAACATTGTTTTAATTTATTTAAAAATTTCTTTTTTTTTTCAGGTTTAAAAGTGACGATAAAGATAAATCCGGTGAAGATGCGAAGCCTGGGGAAGAGCAAGATGGCGCCGAGGCAAAGTCAGACGATCAGCCTGATAAAAAGGCTGAAAATGCTTAAGAAAGAAATCTTAATTTTTAATCGTAACTAATATCAGATAGATTTTTAGATGTTTATTTTCTTTTTAAGTGACTTGTCGATAAAAATAAGAAATAATTTTCTTATTTTTATTAGAGCCATAGAAATGTTTAGAATTAAATTATATTATTTTATTTTGGATATTGTAGTGATTGTATGTTTGTATATCGTTATAATGCGATTATTATGATCATAATAATAATGGATTTAGAAATAAATAATATGTGCTTATAATATTGTTTTATTTTGTTTATGGGGGTTTCAATACCTACTTTCTTAAAAAAAACTTTTAAGTGAAATTATTGTTCAGTTAAAAATACAGGGTTGTTCACCACATACGACACGGAGTATTGTAGCTAAACGATTAGATTTTTACAAATTGTAAGTTTTGGCTTCGTTGAAGGACTATTAGAGCTACAATTTAAAAATATTTCTACAAGATACAGAGTGTCCCAAATAAATAAAAAATATCAAAGTTGTATTTTTTTAAATGGAACACCCTGTATATTATTGCATTTTTCGTTTCTACGATTAAAATAAAGGTAAATTTGATTACACTGTTTACTACACTTAAACCTTACCGGTTTTTGAAATATTTTCGATTTTGCGAAATTGCAGTATAAATTTTAAGGCTTTATTTCTCCGAGGATATCAAAGTTTTTAATACTAAATATTTACTGAAGATTATTTATTGATCAGTTATTGTGTTGCAATAATAAAAATTATACTACCTTATACAGAGTGTCTAAAAATTTATTTTAAATAATTACTAGCTTTAAACGGTAATAACTTATTTACTTTAAATAGAACACCCTGTATATTTTATGAGAATCAGATGCACAATTTAATTGTCTATCAAATTGTATTATACCACTTCTTACCTATTCCTTCAAGTTTTCGTAGAAAATGCATTTTCTTATAATTTAGACCTCATTTATCAATATACCCATGGAATATTGACATTTTAGATTGTTTTTTTAAAACAACAAATGTACAAAATGTACAGGCTAGTAATATCGTTTTTAGTAAAACGATAATATTATTAGGCCATTTGTATGCAAAAAGAAAACTATTTAAATCTTTATAAAAGAGTATACCATTAATTAAATAAACCACCAGTATTTCCGCCCAAATACTAATTAACTACATACTTAATTGTGTTCGTTAATAAATTATTCTAAATAAATGTGGATTTGAATCAGAAATCAATATAATAATAAGTTATGAAAATGAACGTATCTGTTGTTATAAATAAGCATTTGTCAAAAAATTAAATATCATTTTTAAGGTGTTACTTTTTACCACATTGTCTAATACACATAATAATTCAGCTTTTTAGTATTTGAAGCAATTATTATTAATCAACGCAAACAGTCAATTAATGTAGTTTGAATACTGGTATCATGTTTTGATCCTCTTTGACAAATATTTAAACAGTTTTTTTTTATTTTTTAATGAACTAAACGAACTATATCGACAATATTAGTATCTGTACTCTAAAACTTTGGTACATTTTTAAAAATACTAATCTAAAATGTCAGTATTCCATGGGTATAAATGAGTTCTAAATTACAAGAAAATGCATTTTCTACGGAAACTTGAAAAGATAGGTAAAAAACGGTATAATACAATTTGATAGACAATTAAATTGTGCATCTGATTCGCATAAAATATACAGGGTGTTCCATTTAAATTAAACAAGTTATTGCCGTTTGAAGCTAATAATTATTTAAAATAAATTTTTAGACACTCTGTATAAGGTAGTATTATTTTTATTATTGCAACACAATAACTGATCAGTAAATAAACTTCAGTAAATATTTAGTATTAAAATGAAAACTTTGATACCCTTGGAGAAATGAAGCCTTAAAATTTATACTGCAATTTCACAAAATTGAAAATATTTCAAAAACGGTAAGGTTTAAGTGTAATAAACCTTAATCAAATTTACCTTTATTTTAATCGTAGAAACTAAAAATGTAATAATATATAGGGTGTTCCATTTAAAATAATACAACTTTGATATTTTTTATTTATTTGGGACACTCTGTATCTTGTAAAAATATTTTTAAATTGTAGCTCTAATAGTCCCTCAACGAACCCAAAACTTACAATTTGTAAAAATCTAGTCGTTTAGCTACAATACTCCGTGTCGTATGTGGTGAACAACCCTGTATAAGTCAATACGTACGTGGTGATTGGTGATACAGTGTTCCAAAAAGTTTCAGTATTAAGGGTTCTGTTGGATTTGTACTCGTCTTTGTGACAATAGAATTTTTCTTTGAGTAGTACCGTATGATCGAAAAAAAAACGGCGTCCAGTTGGCTGGGAAAAAGTTAATTAAAACAAGATTTTAGAAAAAAATGAGTATTTTTTTTTCATATTGTTCCACCACTTCAAAAAATTCCTGAGTGTAAAGAAGTATAAAAGACATTTAGTGACATATACTTCGCAAAGGCTTAAAAAATGATTTTAATTTTCTTTATTCCACTAAAAATCGGCTTTTCGTTTAAGAATCATGATCATATTATTTTTTCATGTCTTAGACTTAAGATCAATTAATTTTAAATTTTAATATAAAAAAAATGAAAAAACTTTTTTTGAAAATCTCGAAAACCGTTTGAGTTAAAGAGGTAAAAATTTATGTGAATTATTTTGATTCGCCACCAAATCGAACCCCTGAGTGCGAGTCAAAAAGCCGCGAGGGCAGATTTCCTTTATTAATCCGGCTATACCCTTTACATACAAAAAATAACAGCGATCTTCATTTCATAGCCATAGCTGACGCCGTTTTTTTTTCGATAATACGGTATTTTTGTTTTCTTTATACAGAGTTGCTATAAGTAATTTCTTTTATCATATAAACATGAAAAAAATGTAAGATCACAAGAATCTTCTGCATGGTCTTGGTCTTGGTTTTTGTACAAGACGACGACCAGTCTCACTCATCGCAGTCATCGCTACTTGTCTGAAATTTCAAGAAACTTGTATGAAAACCCCACTATAAACTAGGGATGATCCGATATACTAGAAGTATCGATACGGATCGTAACTAAAAATATCGAGACGTCGATATATCGATACCTGGAATATCGATACTTTACGATACAGGATATTAAATTAGAAATTTTTACGATATGTCTATTACTTGTCTATTATGAAACTATATGAACCCTTCCCGGACACAAACGGTACATTGTGAGACAGGAAATTGTAGAGAGAAACAAGCCCTATAACATAGGATACAACATTTTAATGAAAAGCGCTTTTCATATAATCGATAAAATGAAAAATATACGAAATAATATATATGTACGGATTTTTTTCGAAAATCGACATCTATGAAACTATAAACCCTTCCTGGACACAAACGGTACATTGCGAGACAGGAAATTGTAGAGAGAAACAAGCCCTATAACATAGGATACAACATTTTAATGAACAGTGCTTTCCATAAAATCAATAAAATGAAAAATATACGAAATAATATACATGTACTGATTTCTTTCGAAAATCGACAACTATGAAACTATGATCCCTTCCCCGATACAAACGGTACATTGCGAGACAGGAAATTGTAGAGAGAAACAAGCCGTATAACATAGGATACAACATTTTAATGAACAGTGCTTTCCATAAAATCCATAAAATCAAAAATATACGAAATAATATACATGTACTGATTTCTTTCGAAAATCGACAACTACGAAACTATGAACCCTTCCCGGACACAAACGGTACATTGTGAAACTGGAACTTGTAGAGAGAAACAAGCCCTATAACATAGGATACAACATTTTAATGAACAGTGCTTTCCATAAAATCAATAAAATGAAAAATATACGAAATAATATACATGTACTGATTTCTTTCGAAAATCGACAACTATGAAACTATGAACCCTTCCGGGACACAAACGGTACATTGTGAGATAGGAAATTGTAGTTTTGTAGAAAATTTGTTTATAGATTAGATTACTATATTCATAGTAATCTAATCTATAAACAAAAAAAGCTGGACTATCGCTTTGAAATTTCAACAAATATAATCAAAATTCCACAGCTTGGAGTGGTGTTAAATCCAACCATTCTACCCCTCTTTCTGTCGGTATTTAACATCTCAAAGTCGGTGTAATTTTCAGGCGGGAGCTTTGCAATCAGAGCGCACCGGAAACGGGAAGAAGGGATTGCGCGTCGGGTGGCAATCAGAGAGCGTTTCAGCACTTTCAGGGAAAGGAACAGTTTCAGAGCCTGTAATCGCAGGGAGAGGTTTCAGGAGGATCCGGCGATAGCGATTATTATGTCGCTCTGCTTTGTGCTTCATTTCTATGACGAGCCGTTCAAATTTTAGTAATACGTAGAGAGAGATTTGTGTTTGAAAGAATTAAATTAATATTATGCAGTTTGTAAGTATTCGCATTCGCAAAAATAAAACTTCAACACCCTGTATTTCCGAAATTAGGCATTTTAGAACATACATTTATACGAGCTTTTTTGTTTATTTTTATCTGCAGAATATGCTGCCGAGTTTCCGGAATACAGTTCGGATCACCCTGTATATACTCATTTCTTGAATCGTTTTATTCAAAGACAACGATGAAGCTGAATCGTTACATTGTAAATTATTTTTTTGAATAAATCAAAAATGTAGTAGTAACAAAGGAAGAGACGGGGTGTTTCCTTAGTCTCTGGCCCGTTTTTTATAGCCATCTCCACTGATTTATCTCCTTCTGTCGGGTACCGCCCTCTTTCTGTTTAATGAGTTGTTGGTTTTTCTACCGCAACTGGCGCCACAGGATATAAAAACGCGCTTTATAGGTTTCCATTTTAATTGTGTTTCATTTTTTTTCTCGTTTAGGGCAGATATAAATGTAGATTTTTCTATTACACAAGATTTTAGGTTCCACGATCATTCACAACATAATATTATACAGGGTCGCTGATATGTATGGAAACGGTCGATTATTAGGTAAAATATAAGAGGTACCGCAAAAAGTTAAATATAATAAATATAGGGGTTTTAAATATCTATTGGCGGGTAATAAATTTAAGTATACAGGGTCAGTCATAAAGTTGTGGTACCTGAAAGTTTCATTTTTTTAAATGGAACACCCTGTATATTATTGCATGTATCGGTCCTTTCTTCAATTCTAAACAAAAATCGAGATACACACATTGTACCTTATTAAACCAACTGTTTCCGAGTTATTGCCTTTTGAAAATGTCACTTAG